AACAAGATATCTAGTAGTGTCAATTTAATTAAATGCTCGAAAGAGTAAATATATTATTACTTGGAGGGATAAATTTAATTATAAATGATGCATTATTCTCTTCTAATTTCCATAGAAATTTGCTAAGTTTCAAAGATATTCGTCTAAATGGATATCATATCGAGATAACAAATATTAAAAATATTGAATACTTATATATTACAAAAATTAAATCATATAGAAAATATGTATTAGAGAAATTACCAACTTTCTCTTCTATTGTTTCTTACATAAATATTTAAATAATTGAAACAAATGTCATAGTAAACAAGAAGTTTACTAATTTTTTATTTTATGACATGACTAGTTGGGCCATCCTAGATTCATTATGATGCAAAAAATTATTGAATTTCATATGGACATCCGTTGAAGAATTAAAAAATTCTTTAATCTAATAAGTTTTCACGTTTTACATGTTCTCAAGACAAACTTATTATTAAGTCATCACAAAATAAAATTGGTATTGACTATCCAGCATTTTTAGAACGTATTCAAGGTGATATATATGGACCAATTCATCCACTACAAGGATCATTTAGATATTTTATGGTTTTAATAGATGCATTTATAAGATGATCACATGTACACTTCTTATCAACTCAAAACTCGACATTTTCAAGGTTACTTGCTCAAATAATTCAATTACGAGAATAATTTCTAGATTATACCATTAAAAAAATTCTTCTTAACAATATTAATGAATTTACCTCTCAAGCATGTAATGTTCATTGCATGTCTATTGGAATAAAGATTGAACAACGTATTACTCATGTTCATACTCGAATGGTTTAACAAAATTATTTATTAAAAACCTCCAATTAATAGCTAGACCATTTCTTATAAAAACAAAACTCCTTGTTTATATTTGAGAATATATAATTTTACATGCAGCAACACTTATTCGTATCGGACCCACAAGTTATCAAAAATTCTCTTTCCTTCAATTGGTTTCTAGTCATGAGCCTAATATTTCTCATTTAAGGATTTTTGAATAAGTTGTATATGTCCCAATTACTCCTTCACGATAAACTAAAATGAGTCATAAGAGGAAAATGAGAATATATATATTGGATATGAATCTTCTTCTATAATTAAATATCTTGAACCATTAACAAGGGATGTTTTCACAGACTCAATTTTCCGATCGTCATTTTGATGAAACAATTTTTCCAACATTAAAGGGAGAGAATAAACAAAATAAGCGAGTTAAAAATATTTAAAAAAGGAATACTTCATCTTTATATCACCTTGATCCTTACACAAAACAATATGAACTTGAAGTTCAAAAGATAATTCATTTATAAAGTCTTACAAACCAACTATCAAATGCATTCTCCGATCTAAAAAGAGTAACTAAATCATATGTTCCCACTAAGAATGCTCCTATTAGAATCAATATCCTAATAAAATAATTTATTAATATTATAAAAAATTAATCTAAAGCATGCTTGAATCATGAAAGATCAATCGGTTCTAAAGATAAAAATCTCCAAAAGAAAAATAGAAAAAATAATCAAGATGAAAATAAATAGAAAGGAGGTAGATAAAATGGTCCAAGATGCTTTTGATAACAAGCTTCTAGAAAAAGCCCAAAGGCTTGAGTAAAATTAAGAAATTTTGATAAATTATATTTATAAATGGAGAAAATAGGATTGAAAAGAAACATTCATTGATAATATTTTTTCATATAATTATACAATTGATATTTTGAATAAGGATCCTAAGCCTAAATCTATTGAAGAATGTCGACATAAAAAGGATTAGCCTAAATGGAAAGATGCAATTTAGAAAGAATTAAAGTCTCTCACGAAACAAGCGAGTTTTTAGGCCTATAGTCAAAAAAACCCGAAGATGATAAACTAGTATAATACAATTGGGTATTTGTGCAAAAATGAAATAAAAAGGATGAAATTATGAGATATAAAACAAGACTTGAGCACAAGAGTTTTCACAAAGACCTAATATTGACTATAAGGAGACATACTCTCCTATAATTGATGCAATTATATTTTGTTAACTTATTAACTTGACAACACATGAAAAAACTTCATATGTATTTAATAAATATGATCATATTCTATTTATATGGTTCACTTAATAATGATATCTATATGAAAGTCCTAGAAGGACTTAAAATGCTCGAAGTATGTAAAATACATTCTCGAGAGATGTATTCAATTAAATTATAAATATCTCTATATGGATTGAAACAATTTGAACGCATCCGATATAATCGTTTTACCGAGTATTTATTGAAAGAAGTTATAAAAATAACCCAATTTGTCTATGTGTTTTTATAAAGTAATCCAAAAATGGGTTTGTGATAATTATTGTATATATTAATGATTTAAATTATAACTTTTGAAGATATTTTAAGTATCATATGTTATTTAAAAAGAGAATTTGATATGAAAGACCTTGGAAAAAAATTTTATCTCGACCTACGGTTCGAACACTTAGAGGATGAAATTTTTATTCATCGATCAACATATATAGAAAAAGTACTACAATAATTCTATATGGATAAGGCTTACCCATTGACTAGTCCAAGAGTAGTTTGTTCATTTGATGTTCAAAATGATTTTTTTTCTACCTTGAGAAGATAACGAATAACTTCTTGACATTAACGCAATTGATGCATGAATATATCTTGCTAATAATACCCAACCTCATATAGTATTTTCTATATGTTTGTTAGTAAGATATAGTTTTGCTCCAACATAGAGACATTGGAATGGAATTAAACATATACTACGTTATCTCTAAAAAACAATTAATATGGGCTTATATTACTCTAATAAATCAAAGATAGGATTGAATAGTTATGTAGATGCAATCTATTTATCTTATTCATTGAAAGTTCAATCATAAATTGGTTATGTATTTACATATGTAGATATAGCTATATCATGACATTCTATAAAGCAAACTATAGCTGCCACATTTTCAAACTATACATAAATACTAGCAAGTCATGAGAAAAGTTTAGAACGTATTTGGTTAAGATTAATGACCCATCATATTCGAGAGATATGTAGTTTATTCACTAGTAAGGAAGTTCCAAAAATATTGTATGAAGATAATATTATTTGCATAACTTAATTAAAAGAAGGATAAATCAAAAGTGACAAAACAAAACATATATCACCAAAATTATTCTTCACACGTGATCTTTAAGGGAATGGTGATATTAATGTTCAACAAATTTGATCAATCGATAATCCAACGATTTGTTCACTAAGACATTACTTGTCATAACTTTTGAGAAGATGATTCACAAGATTGGAATGCATCATCTTAGAGATCTTAAATAATGTTTTCAATAGGGAGAGTCCAATATGAGAATTAATGTATACAAGGAATATCATACTCTTTTTCCTTCATGAGGATTTGTTTTCATTGAATTTTTTCAAGTAAGGTTTTAATAACGCATGTTTCTTGTAAAATGGATATTAAAAAAGGAATGTTATGAAATAATGAATATCAATTTAAATATTTATATACTTTTTATATCCATACTACTTATAATTCTTAATGTGATTCAATTCATCATTCAATATGAGAAATTAAAAAGATGATGCAATTGATTCAACAATTTATGTACTTTTAATTGTTTATAGTCCTGTCTAATTCTCTTCCTAATTTTGAAGCCTATAAATCGATTTGATTGTTCATTAATTAGTTTGTGTACAAGTATTTTATAAAGATTGAGAGAATAATTTGAAGTTATTATCACTTGTATTCACTTTATTTTATAATGAACTCATTTTTCTATCATCTTTCTCTTCAATTCTACTATTATTGTTATTTCTTTTATAATAATAATAATAATATAATAAGTGTGTTTATTTTGAGAATTTTTATAATCGAGTGTGTCAAATTTTTTTTATTTTAAATGGATATGTGCACTCTCGAATTGTAACATAAAATTTGAAAAAGTGTCATGCATGACATGAAAATATTGAAGAGATATAATTTAAGTGATGAGGTAATAATTATGACATAAATATTAAATATGACACGACAATTAGTGATGATGTGACACTAATGACATGGTAAAACAGTTTTATAGGAAAATTTATCTCCATTTATTTTTTCTTTCGACAATATAATTTTTTGTATATGTTGTAATCCAACTAAATAATAATAATTATATTTTATTCAAATTAAAATTATGATGAAAAAGTTATACGTTTAACTAAAAAAAGGAGAGAAATATTTTATATTAGATTTATAGAAAAATATAAATTTATGATATTAACTAAATATGAAAATATAAAAAGAAAATAATTTTAATATTTTATATTGCTAAAATTACATTTAATATTTTTTGAAAAAAAGAATGTAGGCCTTTAAAATTATTTTTCTATGTCATGTCATTACTTAATATAATGTCATAATGGTCACTTCATTATTTAAATAACATCTCGCTAATATTTTCATGCCGTACTTACCATCTTTTCAAAATTCATTTGATTTGTTATATTTTAAAAGTCCCAACATCTATTTTTTAAAATTAAGACATACTAAATTTTCAAAATATACACACTTAATATGATATTATCTCATAATGTGAAGACAAAAACAATTTTCACCGACTCTATTTTATGGTATGTCTAAATGTTACAAATATAATAAATAAAAAAATTCTCTTTTTCATGGCAAACAGATAAACACACAAAATAATAATAATAAATAAATAAATAAAATAAAAATATCTTCTTCGATTCACATGATAGCCTTAAAATTTCAGTCTAAATAAAAACAAAACAAGAAACAAAGACCTCCAAAAATTACAGTACCATATATATTATTAATACGATAGAAATCCAAAAAAAAAAAAGAAAAAAAAACGAATGTTGACCAGGATACCAATTTTGAACAGCTACGTGTTCTAATCAAACCTTAATTATTCACCTATGCAAGCAATCAGTCGATCAATACACGCAGCGAGTCCAGCAATGGCGTTTTTCTCTTCAACAACAGCACCATCGAACTCTCCTCTTCTTCGATTACCAAACAGTACTACGAAAACTCTCTCTTTCTCTTCATCTCCACATTCTCTCTCTTTCCGATTCTCCACCTCAAACCTCAACCGTCGGAATCCTTCTCTCTCCCTTCGATCAACTTCATCGCCAGGTAATTTATTTCAATTCAATTTTCTTGTGAATTATAATAGTATGTGACTGTAACTGTTATTATTGTTGATAACTACAGCTGCACCGCCGGCGGAGGGGGTGGCGCCGGCGATATCGGTGACGGAGAATGCGTTGAAGCATCTGAATAGGATGAAAAACGATAGAAGTGAAGATTTGTGCTTAAGAATTGGGGTTAAACAAGGTGGATGCTCTGGTATGTCTTACACAATGGATTTTGAGAATCGAGCCAATGCTAGACCGGATGATTCTATCATTGAATGTAACGGATTTGTAATTGGTACGTGTTTCTGTTAACAGCCCCTTTACTTCTTCTTTTTTCTCTTTCTGTTATTGTAATTGTTGGCTTGAATAGACTGGACGGGACGGGACTAGACTGGACGGGACGGGACTAGACTGGAGGGATCATTCCACCTAAGAAGCTGGACAATAACATGAATAATGTTTTGTTCATTTCTAGCTGGGCACCAAACACTAGTACAAATAAGTTTGTCCTGTTCAGGCCCGTATAGCCAACGGTATTATCAGTCTGTTGCTCCTCCGCTCATAGAAAAGCGGGACTCGCCATGATAACTACTCACGGGTCTCATTTTTATGTGAGTGGGACTGAGTGTACCCAATAATCTCTCTTGTTGTGGTATTTTGCTAATAGAGTTTATTGATAGATGAGGAATTGTGCTGAGGGAGCATTTGAAACACATGATTGGACATAAAGAGTTTCGTTAGTCTTATTTTACGTATAGTATCAAAGAGCATGTGTTTAACGTAGTGGTTGATTTATGATGATTTTGGATATGAGGTGATTAAGTTGATGTAGTGAGTGGTTAGTGGTAAAGTTAAGCAACATAAGACAGAAACACATTAATCATAGGGTAATGAAAATATGAATAAGAGTCATGGATCCAAATGTATTGGACAAGTTGAGTTGAAGAGGAAGATGTTTGTGTTGGAAGTAATGGGACTCTCTGGTCTAGAAATGGTATTTGTTTGTTGATTCATCAATTTGCTTTGGTGAGATATGATGTCTTTCATCCTATAATTGCAAGAGAAAAAACATTGGTTGGCTGTCCTCTATGGTAATTGAACTATGATTCTCCATAACTATATACTAGTATTGCTTGTCTGCTGTGATAGAGTAAACATTTTAGGATTGCATGGGACAATTATAAGAATCAGCTCAATACTTTTGAGTTACTGTCGACAATCAAATGATGTGATTCTTTATGAAGAGGTAGATAAGCTTATCAAGGTGGATGGTTATAATTGTTAACGAATTAGAATTAAAAATGAGCACAATCTAATTTAAATTTGGATTGGCATCAAAATATGATGAAGATATGTAAAACTCATTAGGCTAGCATGAAGAAGACTAATTCAGGTGAAACATTCATGGCATGAAGATAGTCATACTGGAAATGCTTGAGCGGCGTCAAAATGTGATGGAAATTTAAGTATTGTGTTTAGAATATAGATTTGTTTTTAGGCAATGAATCCGTTTTGAGCACATTCCAAAATTTCAAAGAAAAATGAAGCTAAATAGAATCTTGTTCAAAATGGCTTAAAACCGAGCTAAATTCAACCCAAAGTAGCACTCCATCAATGTGAGGGTGCAGGAACTACCTTAGATTTGCCAAAAAAATCAACCAAGGTCAAGCTTTGCTTTGATACTGATTCAAAGGCTAGCAACCCTTCAAAAGAACCCTTCTAGTGCCAATAGCAATTTCAGCAAAGCCGAAAAAAAAAAAAAAGGATTATTATCACATAAGTTTTGGCATGCCAAAATCCCCGATGCCTCAGTGCCGAATCACATAATCCAGCTTAGCCAAATTCATTTAGGATGAGCCAAAAGTGATCCTCACAAGCTCTGTTTTCAGTGTCATTTTAAGGGGGAAATTGTATCGGAAAGCTACGTGAGTCTAGTTCCAACGCTTGAAAGTTGTGGATCTGGAGTTTTATAGTGAGAATTATGGCTGTTTTACTGTTGAGTATTTAGGATCTGCCGAATTTGCCTCTGTTTTCCTCTGCACGAGGCCATGTTTTCTCCCTCTTTTACTGCCTGTCCATGGGTCCTGAAGTCTATATTCCTTTACATTATTTGAGTGATCTGCATTATGTTGGGTTGTAAAATAGCTAAGTTGTAGCTGTTGTGTATTTTGCCATGCTTGTTAACTGTGACTTTATCATGTGTAAATTAGGCAACCATTATGGCTTGGATATGTTGCTTGTTTTTGTTATCTCAAGATGCTCATGTTGTATAATGGGATCCTCTCATCTAGAAATCCTACTACGTGTGTTTGTTGATTCATCTATTCTTTAGGGTGAATTATATCGTCTTCCATCCTGCATGCAAGGAAAAAAGCATTGGTTTGCCATCCTCTATGGTAATTAAACCAAGGATACCGTCATTACAAACATCACTCATATGCCGTGATGGAGTTAGGATCTTAGGATTGAATACTGTAATATGAAATTCAGTTCGCTACTTTTGAGTCATTGTTGACAACTAAATTTAACTTTTGAGTGGGCATTAAAACATGGTCGATATATGTAAAACTTATTAGGGTAGTAGTTTGAAGAGGACCAGAGAGTACGTGGATGAAGCGTTGATGGCAGGAAGATACACTAAAAAAGGCAATGTTTGATTGGCATAAAAAAATGTGTCGTTAAAAGTAGATATGGATTTAGGCAAGCTAAAATGAGGATTGTGAATCATGTTGTCAATACCTGAAGTTGATGGGGCAGAGGACTCATGTTACTGTATTTACTGGATGGTTGAATATCATTCTAACATGTCATCATACCATTGGCCTTATTCATCATATGCTATTGCTTTACATCATTGTATATCTCTCATAGTCTTTCTTGCATATGTAGGTTCTTATATATATGTGAATAGGTTAGAGGATGTTCAGTTATCATTGTAGAAGCTTAGCAGAACCCATAGTTTTGTGAGAATTGACTCAATGATGGATGGCCCTTAGTCAGGAACTATATATTGGATGCAATGTCAACCACTTCAGGGTGCAAAGATATAATATTCCAGGATGAAAATCGGGAATTTAGGAGAAAATGTAGAAATTTAACAGATAAACAAGGCTGCCTTGTCAGTCAATATTTGTTCTTGTATTGGCATTTTGTCCCCTCTCTTGTACAAGTTCTTTTATTGGAAGTGTCCAACTTATCATGCGTGCATTGGCGTACAAAGGAGTAGGACCTAGATAGAATGGGAAGCAGTGTTGCATAACAATATGACTTGTATTAGGATATTTGTTTGTTAGGATCCGTTAATTGGTATTATGTTTAGGAAGCATCATAGTTCTAGGACTTTTATCTATCTCATTAGTTGTGATGACCTTAACCTTATTATAAAGGTTTCATATGGGGAATAAAGGCAAGTTCAGGTTCTATCAAACCAACCAGTGTTTCTAGGAGGATTAAAACACCAGAAGTGTGGACTGCCGAAGCTAATGATAGAGGCAAGAACACTTTCCAGCCAAGTCACATTAATTGATCATAACGATATCGTGGAAATGCTGCACGGACCCATATATATAGAAAGAGAGAGAATCACTTTGATACTAAACCAGGTCGAGCCTATCTGCAGGTTCCCTTCCAAGCAAACCCTGACTTCGTTCTGATTGCTTTTTCTAGAGGCGTCTCTCACTTCCTCGTTCATGATAGGGAAGGACAAGAATTGTGGAGCCAAACCTGATCTGACTTCCATTAACAGAGTAATTAGATCTCAATCTGCTGTCACACGATGGCAGCCTGCCGATGTGGTCATGCTTTTATTGGAAATCTCAGCTTGAACTGTATGATCTTTCAAATGAATATGTCTGCAGTAATTATTGAGTATTTAAAAGTTGAAACCGCAATTACAGATTAATTCTTATTGTTGGTTATTAGAAACGCAAAATTAGACCCTGACCATGTTCAATTCTTTGACTCTTGATACAACACTTTGTTTTGTGCTGATTATATCTTCTTGCAAAAGTCATCAAACTATGTTACTATGCATAAGCTTTTGACAAGTAATCATAATACATCTTGGTTAATTTTAGATCTTAATTTTTGAGGTGTTTCTATTGTTTATCATCTTCTTTTTATTTTGAGACTCAAAATTGACTCGTTACATGCACATAGTTTGAGCCCTTATTTATCCTTTCTTTGATTTGATTGAATTTTAGTAGTCCTCTCTTTGATTTGATTGAATTTTAGTAGCAGTGCCCAACACTATTTTTTTAACATGGATCCTAGATCTCGGAGTCATAATTGCGCCTTTATTTTGATTTCTGGAAGTCAACATGTACCACTTTCATAAAAACTGGGTACCATCTGTCTGTCATGCTCAGACAATGCAAGAAGCTTGCAGAGTTTTCAAACTACTCTACTCCGCTTATGTGAAGCAGGATTATGCTTGTTCAAATTCTAGGTTATTTTTGACAATTTACTTGCATTTTCTGTTTGTTTTGCAGTTTGTGATCCGAAGAGCCTCCTCTTCATATTTGGGATGCAATTGGATTATAGTGATGCTCTTATTGGTGGAGGTTTCTCTTTCAAGAACCCAAATGCTACAAAGACGTGTGGTTGTGGTAAATCCTTTGCAGCATAGATGTGTACTATTTAAAACTGAACATACACTAACTTTGAAATTGTGTACGACCTTTCTGTTGAAGATATGTGAATTAATACATAGGAAAATAATCATATTTCTGTACTCTTTTGGCAATTAGACTTGCATTTTATATAGTTTTGTTATATTTCCATGTATTAATGCAACTTGATATGCATCTTTGCATGTCAGAGGAAAAAAAGAAGAAGAAAAAAGAAAGTGGAGTGTGGGAGATGGTAGTCATAAATGTTTGGGTAAACTACAAAAATACCATCCGCCTATTTCCTTGTTCGTGATGTTACCCTAGCCCTGATCTTTAACATTTTTAAGGTGACCTTTCCATCAGTTACAGCTAAAAACAACTAATAGAACCGTCAAATAGAATTTAGTTCAGTTCTTTCAATGTAAAAGCCTTTCGATGTAATGCAACTCTTTTAAGTCTTAACCACAACTGTTTCTCTAAGTAGGAAAGCTCTCTGTTTATAGCTCAAAAATAATAGGTATTGGGTCCCAATTTGGAACCTAGAAGTGGGGTGATTTGTATGGAATAATGTTACTGATGAGAGATGTGACCAGATTTGATATCCTGGCAAGGTTGTGGCTTGAAGAATCAAGGGAGATAATGAGCAATATTTTTGTGATTTGAAGAATCAAGGGAGATAATGAGCAATATTTTTGTGATTTGTGAATGTTGGACGCTAAAGATAAGGAAGGGTTCTTGTTTGGAAGGAAAGATGCTTAATTATGCTTTGATTTAGAGAGCGGAAATCACCATCCTATTTAACAAATATATGCTATTCTGAACCCATGATCTTGATTTGCAATTTGAAGGAAGGGAACCAGGCTTAGAGTTTTTCTAGACTTGTAAGCCGGCCAAGATCTGAATGTGCCATGTTCTTGTTTATGCTTTGGGAACTTGGGCTTTCAAACAACTGGAACCAGGCATAAAAAAGTTTCAAGTAAAAGTTATTTATGGTATTGTAGTCGCTTAGATTGTTTTGAAGCGTTCTTCATAAAGTTTCAACATTCATATTATCTGACCAACTATTCAAGGGTTTCATTGATGTTTTTTGTGTCAATCCTTCTGACTTTTCATGTCAATCCTTTTTTTTTCTTCGTAGATTGTCTTTCGCAGGCTTGTTATTTGATTCATGTTGTGTTCTTTTTTATTTTCTTTATTTGATGTGCAATAGATATTTTCTTTTTATCAATTTGTAAGTTTTTATTTATTTATAAATGGTGTTTTCGTACTAGGTTATAGCTTTACGTATTAATATAAACTAAATCTTTTTTTTCTAGGTACATCCTTTACATTTATATGATATATAAAAAAAATTAATTATTTTTGTCGTATTCTTTAATGCTTAATTATTCTTACAAATAACATCGAATAATTCATTAAATGTCTCAAACTATTCATGAACTTAAATTTAAAATATACTTTTTTAATAATTATTTTTCCAAAAGGTACTATTAAAATAATATTTTATCACATATCACTATATCCGGATATTAGGTGTGTAAGTAATTATATAATACAGATATTAGAGATTAAAAAAAAAAAAAACAGTCAATCAATCTAAGCTTTTAAATTGAGGTATGTATAATATTTTGAAATAAAAGAATTAGAGATTAAAAAACAACTGTTGATTTGACATAAAATACAATTAGAGATGACAATGAGTTGGATATAAAACATATACCTATTTTATACGATTCAATGAATACCTATAAAAAATATTCCATGGGTATTGAATTAGATAACAATAAAAAATATGTACCTATTAATATTGTTTAGGATATGAGTGCCCACTCTTTACCCTATTAATATCAACTAATTTATTTTGATTTTTTATTAACATATAAAGGTCTAATTATATAAAATTTAAAAATTAAGGACCAAAGTATTTTTTTCAAAAACTTTAAGGACCAAACAACTTACAAATAAATGACCAAAGTGCAAAAAAATTAAGTTCTAAAGACAAAGACTTTTCTTGGAAATAATAAGGACTAAAAATGAATATTTTTGATAAATTAATTTTAACGGATATTAAATGAGTATTAAATGAACGGATAAACTAACTTGAGTTGGGCATGAACTAAGTAAAAATTTATATTATGATTTTTGAATAGATAATGAATAGAGTATTCTTTTTATGGGTAGGATAAAAAATTGAATTAATGGGCTAGATATAAAACGGATACTTGTTTGATCCGATTCAATAAATGCTCCTTAATAATGTTCAATGGTTATTGAAGTGAGTAAGGATAAAAAATATATACCTATTAATATGATTTCAGGTATGAGTACCCACTTTTTATCTTATTAATACTTACTAATTTATTTTATTTTTTATTAACATATAAGGATCTAATTATATAAAATTTAAAAATTGCCAAAGTTTTTTTTCTCAAAAATTTTGAAGAGAAAAAAATTTATAAATAAATGACCAAAGTGCCAAAAAAAAAAAGTTTTAATGAAAAAAAGTTTTCTCGAAAATAATTACAAAAACTCTAAAACATAAAGCATAATTACTATCGAGTCTACTGTGTCTTCAGACCTAACTCCAATATTCATTCTACTGTTCATGCTATAGTATTTATTATTTTTACAAAAAACTCTAAAATACAAAGCACAATTACTGTTGAGTCTACTGTAACTTTAGACCCAACTCCATTGTTCATGCTATAGTATTTATTATTTTTTCAATATTTTCGACATGCTCCTATTCACACTACAGTACTTTGTATATTTAACTATTGCAACCATTGGGGTTATTGCTTTTATGATATGCCAGTCACAGTAGATAAGTTTTACTTGGAGAAACTCTTTCATTCTTGCTTTTATCCATTCAAAATAGTATGTGGGTCAATTTCAAGATCTAAAAAAGATGTTTTCTTTTACTATAAAGAACCAAGAGAGTGATATTTATGAAATCATATTAAAGGCACCCATTAATTTCAACACACGAAATCATGGGACTCTATCTCTATGCTCACCACCAAGTGAAATGTCAAATAGCTTCTTCCCACCTTCTTGGCTATGGCAATAGCAAACTACATAACGGTAAGCCATAGTACAACATCTTATCATTTTTTGTAAGATGGTTGGTCCCTTTGTAAAGCTGCAAGTATCCAATCCAAAGGTGGTCCATGCAAAATGATACATGCATTGTAAGGAAGTAGGACTGGACTTGGTCTCACCCTCCTCTCATTCTGTTGCTTCTGATTCTGACCATCAGTTGGTGGTGATGGTGGAGAGGGTTTGGGTGCTTGCTGACCAATGGGTGTTCATGAAGGGAAGGGCTGATGTTGGTGGTGATTCATTGGATATTTGGGTATGGTGGATTATTGTTTTTAGGAGCTATGCTTACTAAGTTTTGCTTATGAGAGTGGATGCAGATAAGGTGATGTAGCAGCACCTATCCGTTGGTTGCCATGGTTTTTGAAACAGGGTTGAAGGATGGAAAAGTGTGATTGCTAGCAGCAATCCTCTGGTGGCTGAGATAGGCCAGAGGTTGTGGCCGTTGGTGGTGACCAATAAAGCTGAGGAACTTCGGGAGGTTACTATGATGAAGGAGAAACTGTGAGCTTGGAGGAGTTTAGTTGAGGTCTAATAAGTTTTATTTTATTCGAATGGGGTGAAGAATAAGCTGTGGGGGTGGCTGATGGCTTTGGCTTGAGGAGATTCTTTGGACAAAGAGAAAAATTGAAAAAGGTACAGTAATATTACAAAAAAGAAATGAATTAAATTAGCTTTTTATGTAGGTATCAAATAAGGAGAAGTTGAAAGGTCTCTATAGTTTTTATAATTGGAAGTGTTTTCCCAACTTTTAGATGTTTCATGGAGAAGAACACATTGTTTGAAGGGTCCCTGTGATCCATACGTGTGACAGTAGATGAGGATGTGCATGCTTTTGATGATCATCATCTTTGCTATGCTTCATTAGCATATTATCATCCTTAGAAAGCCGTTGCAAATCTGGCATTACTTGATTATGTTGCAGAACATTGTATCATCATCCAGTATTTCTTTCCCTTTTATGCTACACAAAGCATATTTATTGTTATTTTAATTGTTCATGCCACAATTGTTTGTAATATTTACCATATTCATGCCACACAGTGCATGAAATATTTAACTGTTCAAGCTATAGAAATTTAGCTGTGACAATTGTATATTTAACTATTCATGCTACAGTAATTGATATTTGTTTGCCTTCTCTTTTTAATTACATTATTGCTCTTTTACTCTCTCTTTCTGCCTCTTCCACCCTCTGCCTTTCTTTTTCTTTTTTCCTCCTCTTTCAATATCTAAAATGTATGTGAGAAACTTCAACTAATTAATGGGTTATCTAGTAGGTCTTCTATAAGCTTTTGACAAGGCAATTCCTTTTCATTAGATAGAGAAAAAAAGATATGCCTTTTTCTAAGCCTAATGTAGTTTCAAGAGTAGTAAGTTTTTAATTTTTTTTTTCTAATTAGATCTTACCATCTGGAAAAAAATCCTTCTATATAGATGTTGCCCAACACAAAGATAACTGTCATTGACTTCTTTCTTTTTGTAGTTTTTTGCTATTTTTCTCCACTTTGTTCATGAAGCTTCTGGGTTTATCTTTTCTCACCACCATTACTTTATACATTGGGTGAGTTTTAAATGCTATTGTCTTGCCTTTGTTTAGATCGTCATTGCTGGCAGATTTGTTTGGTTTCTTGGCTTGGTTCTTTATTGTTCTCGTTGCGACGTGGCTGGAGTTATTGGTTATTGCCCTTTTACTGTGACCAAGTGGCTATCCTCTGTCATCGGCTCCTAGGTCCCTAAACAATTAGTTTTCCAAACTGCCCATTTTTACATTGAATGTTGGCTAAGTTTTGGAGTCAGTTGGTTTCTTCTGCCTTTTTTTTCTATTGTAATAAAATGAGTTCTTTGGTTAGTTTTCTTCTTTAGTTGGTTAGGTATAGTGAATTCTAGATGCTTTTATTACTTTTTCTTTGTCTGTTCCTAACTTGTTTTCCTGCCAATTTGTCTTTTTCTCTTCCTTATAAATTACTTTATTTCTCTACGTGTTATTTTCTTCTCTCTCTCTTTTTCGTTACTACTCCAGTTTTTTCTCTCTCTCACTTGTAAGTTTTCCCACTCTTCTTTTCTTGCTCTTCTATGTCTGCTCTTTCATTTTTCTTGTTCTTCTTTTTCTCCTATTATTGTTTTTTTGTACACAATTTGATGGTCGACGTTTCAGCTGTCTTTTCAGATTATGGTTCCTCCATTGCTGCCTAATTTTTGCTTTTCATTCTCTTATTTATTATGGCTCTGTTTTTTTTGTTCTCTCAGTTATGGCTATTTTTGCTTTCCAGTAGCTTTTTTTTTTCTGTCCTTTATTCATGTCTCGCACAACTTGACCTTTACTTTCAGAAAGGTGCATTTTTACACTTTATTTTCATCATTTTCTTTCTTTATTTACTAATTGCTTCGGTTGAATTGGGTTGAATGTATTGAGTTAGATTAATTAAATATGATGGCAGCTCGAAGACATTAAAAACAATGGCAGAAAGTTGCAAGAAAAAATGTTATAACAAAGCTGTATGTTAAAATGTGTCAACCAAAAACAATTAAAAAAAATGGTGCAACAAAGTTGTATGTTTTGATTCAATTTATACAAAACTAGATATAGGACAGAAATATTAGGTGTTGAGTTATGTTCTTTTCCCCTGGTGTTTTCATAGGATTTAAAAAGACAAGCAAAGTAGGATAAAAATATATGTAAACATTATATTTTACATAACATTATATAGGATTGGTTAGCGTTTATATGTGGATATTTGCGTACTATATATGTCCTTGAACGAATTTTGATATTTTCATAATGGATTATTTATTTATTATTTTTTTGGCCAAGAATTTTGGCAAAAAGAGAAGCAAAGCTAAAGGCTTTCGAACTCAGACACCTGCCCCTTTATACCTCTCTATTTACCTTACATGTCACCACCTTTCTAGGATTGCTATTACTTCCTTGCTATATATCACTTGTTATCAAACCCTTCTACGCATCACCACAAGAAATGTAAAGTTGGAGTTTTCATGTTCAAAACGATTGATAGTTTGCTTTTTCTTGGTTAGGGAATTCGGGTCATCTCAATATTGTTTATAATCTTAGAGAAAAATTTTGTAAGTATATTTAACACATTTTCTGGTTGGTAAACCTTAAACATGAGGTTATTGACCCCAATAGATTTCCTTACCGCTTGAGCTCAAAATATTTATTGGAAAAAAGTATTATCAGTATTTACATACAACCAGATTCCACTTTTAAAACTGCAACCCATGTACAAAGTTCTTATTTTTTTTAAGCTTTCTCAATTCTGAAAAATTGAAACAAGAATCACACCACCCACAGTGTAGCATGGGTACCAAACATGTAAAAATATTTTGGGTCTATTAATTGTCCATTATTTTAGTATTTTCTTTATTGTAGAAAGTTGATTCGCAATATTTGAAGTTTTTGATTCCTACTTTTTTAATGAGGAATTGATGGGTAGTCCCAAAAGGCAAGATCTTGCTGGTAGTCTCCCAAAATCTATTGTCAAATTACCTTACCTTAAGAATTTGTAAGTACTGCTTTCAATTATTACATCTTTAACTTTTAGCACTTATGATTTCAGAACATATGATTCAATTCAATTATAAACTCTACTTAAGAAATATTGTAACATATCACTACATTTCATAATTTGAATTAAAAGAAGGAATAAAGGTGGTACAGCAAACCATATGCATCTCATCTTTTTAACTTGAAATCCCACCCACCAACTCCTCATTGTATTAGAGCCAATGAAATATGGATCTGATGTTTATTATTTGAAAACAAATAATGATGTGAAAGCTGCCTAGTTTAATAATGTATTTCTAATAAATTAGCTATTAACTCACAATTGGCTTTATTTAGGCATTGGTACAAAACTGTATCAATCATATATATTGTTTTAGTCCCGGTCCTGGAGGTTGCTTGCAATCACCTACTTAAGAGTGTTAGTTTCTACCCCATACCCAGATAACCACTATTAAAAGTAATAGTAATAGATATGTTGGAAATTTTTCTGAAAACGAAATTAGGACCACCTCACTTCCCATTCCAAACACAATAAAGCTCCACTAAATTGAGTTATAGTAATAAATAATCTATTTTTGCCTTATCTATTCAGTGTAAGAAGTTCGGTGAGTTAAGGGCATGACATAAGAGGTGGACCTCTTTTGAAACCCCCCACTTATCTTTGATTTCACGAGTCATAAAAAGTTCTCCACAAAAATATTCATATATGAGTTTTCAAACGGATCCTTAATATTAAAGAGTTAATTAGTAATTTTTCTAATGAGGTATTGCACTATAGTATTATTATTATTTTTTTTTGTTAACTAAAAATAAAACATTAATTAGTACAAGATAGTATGTAAGTGTTCAATAAATTATTATTTAATAAATTTTAATACTAAAGAGTATGTTATATTATTGTATTCATTTATGTATAATATCGAACAAATTGATATAATATTTATCAATATATTATATCATTTCTATGAAATAAAATATGTGAATAGTGTGCAAAAAAATAAATAATTGTGTAGTTAAAGAAAATATGTAATTATTTGTTTTTAAATAAAATTTTTAAGAGACTAAGTAATAATTATTTAAATGTAAGGGTTTGTTTTTCAATTATATGCTTAAGAAGCTAATAAACAATCATTTAAACTATAAGTATTTATTTTTTGCTCAATCTTACTACATTTCTTGCTTTATTGTATAGTTCACATTGTAATTACAAGAATAATAAAAGATGTATATAAATGGTAGAATTCAATAATCATAATAATTTGAAGAAATTAATGTTTTGCAACTAACTTGATTAATCAAATTGATGGAAAAGACTTTGTTATAAAAGAATAAAGAGTGATTTTATAATAATTTGCAAGACCATCTAATTTTCAAATTCGAATTTCTATAAATTTATTTGTAAACTAAAAAGATAAATTTATAAACTTAACAACTCAAAATCTAAAATAAAATTTTACTCATTAATAATAGAGAATGCTTATAGATCAGAATTTTTAGATATAATATTCATGTAAATGAATTATGGAGGGAAGGAGTCAAATTAATGGCTTATAAATCTATAAGCTTATTTGATTATTGCTTATAAATTATAACCTAACAAGTTTCAAATATGTTAAAACTTCAAATAATATTTTAAGAACTTTTTGTTATTTGCGGGTATGTTGAAACAAAAAGGGATTGTTATTATTTTTTAACAACTTATATTTATAGTCATTTGCAATTGCTCATGTTGCTTTGCGATTGCTTATATTGTCTTCCAATGCTCTATATTTTTTTTCCAATTATTTACGTTCTCTTATAGTGTTCTATACTATTTTATAACCGTTACGATCATATTTTATGTATTGTTTTATAATTGTTGTTATCATGTCTCATCACTACCGACTCTTTTCTATTTTTACACATCAACTTCTTTTCTAATGGTTAACGAAATTATCCTTATATAACTCTTTTTATTAATTAAAAAACCAATGATTAGTAAGTTTTTTTTAAGACAAACAAATTACCTAATAAATTAACCGATATTCCTACTATGTGAAATTAAATTACAAAATTTTAAGAATTTTAGATATGACACTTTGTAAAGTTGGTGAGAAAAGTATTTAAGTGAAAGACACACCGTGCAATGCATTGTGTTTCAATTCTCCTTTAATTATTTATCGAGAATCTTCAATCGTCCATGAGGGGGATAAACGAGCTATGTTTTCTTGGTTTGATCCGAGGGTTGAGGTTTTTTTCTAATTACCAATGGCATTGTAGCCATTAGCAAGTGTTGATCATTTCGGATCAATAGAAATTACTTGCTACGGATGAATAGAGCACGAGCTCCGCACCATGATGGAAACCCCGACTTAGTTTAACAACCTTAAATGTCTCTACAAATCATCTTCATTTAGTCTTCTTTGATACCATAAACAACCCATGCTACCTAACAAACTGCAACGACTTGCCTTACTATGTTCACCAACCTGGATGAACTTATTGAGCTTCCTCTGTTCTAGATTGAGTGATTTTATTCTTAATTTGGTGAATGATTTCCAAAACATATGATCACTAGTAAATTTTAGCTTAGTCGGTAGCTTCTTTTATTAGTTCACTTGCTGTTTTGAATTTTACTATTTCTTTATAGGGTGAACAAAGTTGTAGATGTATTATCTAGAATTCACGAGTCCAAAATTGTCAACAGTACGTTATTTTTGTAATTCAAATTGATATTCTTCCTACAATGGTGAATCTCTCGGTTTAATGGTTCTTATTCGGCATTTGTCATTGTTCGGTTAAAGAATAATCCTTTGTATTCTTCTAAATATATATGTTTAGCATAATGAGCAATTATATAAAAGAGGGAAATTGGTAGGTGGATATGACTTGAGTTTGCAAAAAGATTTGATGTCTTCGTTCCATGATTGACCTACAAAGGGTTCATTCTCGAGTAGGTACCACCACTAAGAAATTTTCTTATGTCTTTTATTGGAAATGATAGTGTAAAGGAGTATGTGATTATGTTAAATAGTGCTCAATTTTTCAATAATATAATCATGACAGAATTGTAACTCATCATTACAACAAGCAATCTTCACTATGCCTCTAAATAGAGGGGAGGATGTGATCTTTATAGTGGTTTTTCTTTTGATAAAGTATGGATACCTCATGCCTTCATGGATGCTAACTCGTCCTTGCAATTAAGACATTTAATTAGTTAGTAATGTCTAAATAGACTTCAAGTTACCACAATGGTGAAAAAGATCAACGATAACTCTTTTCTCTATATATCATCTCTACAATGTCTCTTAATATGTAATGAGAAGTTTCAGTTTTATTGGTTTATTCATGTACATATACATTATGAAACTATTGTAGAAGTCGTTGTTAATAGTCAACTTCATATGCATTGAGTTTGTTGGGGAAAAAAGCATTAAAGGATGAATCTTTATATCTATAATTGTGATGCAGGAAAACTTTGGCTTTATGTCCCAAAAAGGATTCACGATTACTTACATCTAGAAAATTAAGGATAATAGAATGAACCTAGAGTCCTTGCTATAGCGATGAGTAGTGATTGAGGCCACCAAGTAACCTAAAAAAGAAAGGGGAAAAAAGGAAAATAAATAAAAGAAAATAACTCTTAGAGAAAAGAGAAGAAAGGAAACACTTTTACAATGATATCCGCTCATATTCTTTGGATTACGTGGTTCTAAGTTGTTTTGCCGATATCAATTTTTTTTTATTACGTGTTGATATTGATAATTATCATTAATGTGTTTGCTAAGTGTGTTACTCGTTCCTAAATTTGGAAATGGCATTTTATCGTTTGTTTGGTTTCTTATGTCTCTTATTTTAAGTTGACTTGATCTAATCTTTTTTCGTCCATGTAACTTCTCAATGAATTATGAGTTATATCTATTTTTTTTCTTTATCGACTTCATTATTGACATTGTAGCTGTATAGTTGTTGGTTTAAATCTTTTAAACTCTTTTCAACACTCATAGCATTAACGTTTGGTCGATTGTATTTTTTACTTTATTGTATAGTATACATTCTAATAACAAGAAGAATAAATAGTGTATATAAATAGTACTATTCAAGAATCGAATAATTTGGTGAAATTAATATTTCATTTGAAATCAACATGTTATCGACTATAGTTTGCATGGTAATCAAGGTATAACAAAAATGTTACCCGCAACATCGTGCAACAATAACTAACTAACTAACTAACTAACTATATATATATATATATATATAGATATACATACATACATACATACATACATACATACATACATACATATGAGTATACATTTACTTAGATATATATACAAAAATTAAGAATGCCTTATTGCTCATTATTGGAATTAATTTGTTTCTTTGCCTTGGGGTTTTTTTTACTAGTTCCTTTCTTTCTTCATGCGGGTTTCTCTTAAGTTCTTGGCCTTGTTTGTTGATACCGTGTTTGTCTTCATAGGTACTACCCTTTCTATAATGTTTTTATGATCTTCATTTTCGCCTCTTTGTGTTTTTTGCAAAGCTTTTTTCCTTCCTAATCATTGGCTAATGTTAGATGAACATTTTATCTTCTTCGTTGTTGTTGACCAATTGATTTTGCTTTCACTTGGTAGAATACTTTTTAAATTTTTTGTTTTTTTCTCTATTGATCCATGTGTGCATTTTTGTAGAAAACCATTCTTATAAGTTTAAATGCATTTCATTGCATTGTCAATTCGCCTCCTCAAAATATATCTTACATTCATGAAAAATTACCCTTTTTTACATTGTTTTCCATTTTACTATTTTATTGATTGTATTTGTTTGATTTTCTTATGTTATTCCCCTAGGTGTTTTACTCGTTGTTTTGATTATGTTTGTTGTTTCGAATTTAGAAGTGATTTGTTTTTCTTCATTGTTAGTGCTTTAAGTGTTGTTGCTTGGCTTTTACTTTTTTCGATTTCGTTTAGGTTCGTAGAGTGTCTTTTATTTCTTTGATTGATCTCAAGCTTTTAATATGTGTTGTCTCGCTTTTAAATGGGTATGAATATCTATCCGAATAATAAGATTTACAGGAGTATATATACAAATAATTTAATAATTTATTACCGTTGAATTTAATAGTAGAAGCAACTTGCTAGTCCTAGCTTTTTTTGTGAGTTGAAGATGCAAAGGAATAATGATGATGTTTGATAATATATATATATATATATATATATATATATATATATATATATATATATATATATATATATATATATATATTATCAAACATCATATAATACCTTCTATATTATTATGAAAAAAAGAAAAAAAGCATGGCGGTTTACTCTATTCATTTTTGGAATGGAAGAACGTGGTTTTCATTAAAAAAATTACATGAATTTTTCAAAATTACCCAACTATCAAAACTGCTTGATATTGCAAGCACTTATAGTTTGGGATGAGGCTCCTATGAATAATCGTTGTTGTTTTGAGGCACTTGATAGAAGTCTTTGTGATCTTCTTGCGGATGATGATAATGATAGATGAAACATTCCCTTCGATGGAAAAACAATTCTTTTAGGTGGAGATTTTTGATAAATATTGCTTGTTGTTCTTAACGACACCTGGAGAGGAAATTATTCATGCTTCTCTCACAAGGTCTCCCTTTTGGCCAAATTTTATAGTCTTTAATTTTTTTTAAAAAATATGAGGCTTAATAGTGAAGGACTTGATGAAGTCGAAAGAAATAGCCTTACGGATTTTTGCTGAATGGATTTTGTAAATTAGTGAAGGTCGAACACCGTAAACAATTTCCTTCGATGATGATAATGTCTCATTTGTTAGGATTCCACAAAAATTCTTTCTTCAAAAACGAGCAATCTGATTGAAAGCATAGTTACTTTAGTATACGAAAACCTTTCTTCTTCTCAAATAACCGATGAATATTTTAGGGAAAAAGATATAATGACCCCAAAAAATTATATTGTCTAGGAAATCAATAAATATATTCTCGATCATACTCCAAGACCCAATCGTGATTGCTTGAGTAGTGACTTAGTATATAGTTCGTTAGTAGATACTGAGAATTTTAATCTATTATATCCACCGATGTTCATTAACCAACTCAAATTCTCGCAAAATTAAATTTTGATAAAATTAATTATGCGGTACATCAAATGAATTACAACATCAATCACCGTAATAAATACATTATTAATCTATTTAAAATTTAACAGGTATTAAATGGATACTAAATAAGTGGATAAACTAATTTGAGTTGAATATAAACTAAGTAAAAAATTATATTGTGATTTTTTAATAGATAATAATTTAATAGAAAAATTGAATTAATGGGCCGGTATTTGCCCATTGCCATTCCTGTACAATCGTCACATCCAAGATCCAACGGTGCAAGAATAAGGCTGACCTACTCCTGAAAAACACACACACTCTCTCTCTCTCTCTCTCTCTCTTCAGCTCAGGTGGGGATTTCAGCAGTAATAAAAAACGAAGAGCCAAACAACCCTAGTCCTCCCAGTAGGAAAAAACAAGAAAGAGAAGAGAAAATCATGGCTTTCAGTTCTCGTCTCTTATCCAGATCCAAACAGGTAATTGCTTTTCTTTCCTCTATTCCATATCTCCTTATCCTCGTTTCTAATCATCCATTCTTTTCTTAGCGTTGGATTTCGATTTTGGTTTTCAGAACATATCGAATAAATTTAAATAAATGCTGACCCATTAAATCTGTTTTTTTTTTTTTTTGCTTTTAAAAAATGGATGAAATGTTGAATTTTTGATACATTTAGGGATTTTTTGGGTCAATGTGGATTATTTTTTTTGCTATAATTATTTCTCTGGTGAAAAGGGGATTATATGTTGGTGGGGATTATAGATTTTACGTGAAATTCAAATTTCCATGTGGGCTTTTTAGGGAAATTATTGTGGAAATATTTTCTATTTTTACGAGGATGTGCTATGATTTTTCTTTGTATATTGTGGTTATAATTTCTTTGTATATTGTGGGTTTATGCAGTTGTATGGAAGTCAAGCCATTTTGAATAAACAGCATACTTTTCTAGTTCGTTATTATGCAAAAGAGCCGGCTTCCACAGCTCCCACAGGGCTTAAGGGAGATGGTCAGTAAACCTGTAAACTTCCCTTATTAAATGGGTTTTTGTCACGTGGTCTTTGATGACTTTGTGCAAAATGTAGCTTTGTCACTTTCAAAGCATGGTGTTTTGGGATGGTTAGTATTGGACCGAAACTTTGAATGTTATTGGCTATTATGCCTACACACATCATGCTAGGAGCTTGAAAAAAGTATTTTACAAAGCTCAGAGAAATATTGTACAATGTTGCCAATCTACTTACTAAAAGTAGTTTATGGTTGTTTATATTTGAATTTTGTAATTTTTTGAACAATCCAAAATCATAAAAATCCATTAGATTCTAGGCATCACGAGTAAATTGTGCAAGCACAAACCAAGGTGAGTTGGAAAAGTACAACAACTCCTTATCACAGACATGCTTGTGCATCTGTTCTTTGCATGATGTGCTCTGGTCACTTGCTTGAATGTAAATCATACCTACATAACTTGTTTCTGTATCTTGCTTCTGTGACTGCTGAAACTTGTGGCAAATATTGAAACAAATTAATAAGTTTGAATGCTGTATGTGTACTGGGGGAAGCTGTAAAATTTGTCTATTCTACGATATCCTACTGGATGTCGTATTGTTACCGTAGATGATGATCAAAATGATTTATTATGTTGCCCCAAATTCTTATTAGGATACTTTTACAATTCAGTTGAAAGTAAAATATGTAGTAATCATCATTGTTTGTTCATGAATTTGTGATCCATTATAACATCTTTCACTCTTGGTAGATGCAGTATTGTTTACAATGAACTCCTTGATGATTTGGTAACTTGCCACAAATTGTTTTCCTTTGAACTAAACAGAGATGTTGAAGGACATCTTTCGGGAAATCAAGCAGAAATTTGAGATAGCCATTGGGGTACTTCAGAAGGAAAAGATCACCATTGATCCTGAGGATCCAGCTGCTGTGTCCCGTTATGCAAATGTCATGAAGACAGTTAGAGAGAAGTAAGATATTCTCTGTTCTTCTATTTTCTGATAGTTTCTCAAGCTTCTCCTAAGGTGTTTCCATTTTTAGCATCCCTCATTTTAAGTGAGCATTTGGTTTGCTTCTGATGGGTCTTGCATCGAGTGAAGTTATATGTATTGTTTGTGCTGAATTTGGTACACCTTCATTTTAATGATCTATGATGTATTTACTGGCCATATCTTCTGTCTCTGCAGGGCTGACTTGTTTTCGGAATCACAAAGGATCAAGTTTACTATCGAAGAAGAAACGCGAGAGATTCAAGATGCTCGAACGTATTTATTGAAATTGCAGGAAATAAGAATCAGGTTTTTTTTATTTTTATTTTTATTTATTTTTTTTTTTTTTGGTTCGAAGGTCTTGTCTAACCTGTTCTAGATATTATTGCTGCAGAAACTGAAGCTTCATGTCCTATTTGTCAATATATTTATAATGAATTATTCTTTTACTAAGATGTAGAAGAAAGAGCCTTTTCTTTTCCTCCTTCCTTTTGTGCCAAACATTTGTCCCTGTGGATCTGAAATTAATCCTCACATCCCTATTAACTGATGTGCTATTCATTTGTTATAAATCCTCGAAGTTATATCTACATCTTAACATCCCCTTGTTGCATTTCTCATTTGTAATGTAATGATGGATATGGGTTTTCCCCTGCAGGAGAGGTCTACCTGATGGGCTTGGTGCAGAGGCTATGATGATGGATGCATTGGAAAAGGTTGAAAAGGAACTTAAGAAACCTCTGATGAGGAATGATAAGAAAGGAATGGCTGTTCTTATGGCAGAATTTGATAAGATTAATAAGAAGTAAGTGTTGTTTTAGCTACCGAATATTCTTGTTTGTTTTTTCTTTGTTGAATGGTGATGTGGCTGATCTTACCTTCAAGAGGATTGCACTTGTGATGCTCAAGTAGATATGAAAAGCTATTGCTGAAGTTTATTTTAGTTGCATGATCATTCCTTGCCTTCTAGAACCAGAAGCTTATACAGTCCTTGGCTGTCTGATGACTATTCTGCAGACTTAATGGATGTTTGCTTTTATTCAACAGATGAACCATCTGATGCAGTGGTTTAAAAAAGAACTTTGCATGTCTATATATTGACTAGAGCACTTACTTTAAAAAGTATGTCTGTACAGGATTGGAATAGTCAATGTAACTAACATGTTGATTTACTATTACCAGCTACTAATTTGTGTTTGGTAAGTGCACAATGGTGCAGTTGGCAGTGCTAGTGCAATCAGTTTGACATGGAGATGGTATCCAAGTGTTTTTCTTCCTGGTTTCTTTATGGTGGCTATTGTGTGATGATTTTGTTCTTTAGTTGGAAATTGTATTGTCACCTGGCATTTAGTTTGCCTTTTAGGATTCATGTCAGAAGGGACTTTTAGACCTTTTTTCATCTTCCTAGGCTTGGAATTCGGAGGGAAGATCTACCAAAATATGAAGAGGAGTTGGAACTTAAACTTGCCAAAGCACAATTGGAGGAGCTGAAGAAGGATGCTGTTGAGGCCATGGAAACACAAAGGAAGAGGTATCTTATTGTTTTTATGCTTACTGAGTTGTGATTATGAACGTCATGGTTCTAGACATGCTGGCTTCCTACACTTGGCCTCAGTCAGTTTGTATAGAGATGGGATGTATGTGGGTTTAGCTTGCTTTGTGTATTTTTCCGCATAAAAGTACTTTTTCCAGAGTTTTTGTATCCCCGATGAATGATCACTGAATAGGGTTGTAGATCAATCCAAACAGCTCAAATTTGACTGAGACTTGGCTTGATTCAAAGCTTGATTGAACTAGTTCAGAGCATAATTCAAACCGAGCTTGAACAAAATTTTAAGCCTGTTTAAAAGTACATTGAGTGCATGACTGTTAAGGTTGCTCAACTTGGTTTGTTTATGAACATGGGGGCATTTTAGGTGTTTTCGTAAGAGTTTCAGTGTGGCTTGTTCTAGAGCAATAGAAATCTGTGTTCTAAATATTTAGGAGGTAATGTTGGCAAAAATATGGAATCAGATAAAGAGTTTGTGAACTTCTCTTATTTAATTATTTACTATTATGTGTTTTTTCAATTTTGTAGTGAAGTTAGTGATTGACAAAAAGGCTGCTCCTTGTACTAATTGTTTGGCATAGAAATTCAAAAAAGCTATTAAATCAGTAGTATTTTATATTTTGAAACCTTGAAAGACATTCTGGCTAGATGAATTTTTACTGACCTAAAGTTTACCTTTAGGCTCATTGTGAGCCAACAAGCCAAATGAACTTAGCTCGATAAAAATTTGTATCTTGAGCCGAGCTTGTGCAGAATACCCTCGACCTAAGCTCGATCAACACTTAAACCGACCAAAGCTGAGTTTGATTAATCTTTTATTCGGCTTCACCCCCAATTCGAGCATGAAGTCAATGTTCTTGGAACGACAGAGCCTTGAGCTAATTTTTGTGGAACAAAATTTGATTCATGCCTTCATTGAGCTGGACTAATGACTAGCTATTCTTTATGTCAAAGCATGACGTACCTGTGCATTTGCTTAAGTCACCTGAAATGATTTTTTCCCAGATTGACGAGTCATTGGTGGGACAATATTGGTCTTTTCTTGGTGTTGGTATTTTATTGATACTACTTTTGGTCTTTCTATCTTCTTTTTCAGGGAGGAATTTAAGGAAGAGAAAGAGGTTGATGTGAGGACTTTGGACATCCGGAACTTTCTCTAGATCTTGCATGGCTTGTTAATGGTGTTTGACTTGACATGGAGCTTTTGATCAGGTGCAGGACCAACCTGGATTGTCGTTTATAACCATCTGTTTTGCTTTGATAATAAAAAGGTTTGAATCACAGCTGTGGCAACTGAGTAGATATTATGCCTTCTTGTTAATTCAACTCTATAGCCAGGTGGAGGTAACTGGTATTATGTTGTCGCTTCTCTTGCAATGGATTTTTGTTTTAAAAAGTCGCATGTCTCTGAAGACTAATTTTCTTCATTTTCCTAAGAAATGGTTTGTGACTGTTGAATTAAACACACCCCTTATTGCAAAAATGTAAAGTTTGATGAATTGGGAACGAAGTTGCGCCTTGAAGTTAAAACTCTGCTTCAATCCCTCCATACATTTGAAGATCCGGTACCCAGTGCATGGAAGAGAGGTTTTGAGACGGAGAATTCAGTTTGTAGAATGTGCCTTGCTCACTGTCAGCTGTTTCGGCAAACTTCTAACATACATACATACATACATATATATATTACAAAAATACTCGTAAAAATGGGCAATCAAAGCTAAGTACAATCTTAGAGATCTTTTGTATGCAGGTCATTTTAGGCCACCTCCTAGGGTTTGGGTATATACATGCCAGTTCGTGCTAATTGCTACCCCTTGGAACAATGAAGGCCTACCTTATTTTGTTTGGAATGAAGTAGCATATTCTTTCTTTTAACCTTCTCTCAAATCAATTTTCATCATACCAGAAGCTGGCTAAACTAACCTTTTTTTTTTTTACACAGTCAATTGTCATCTTCGCTACATAAAAAATAATTCATCTCTTCGATACGGTAAAAAAATAAAAAAAAGATTTAAGTTTTATAAACTAAAGTTAATTTTAACTCTCACATGATCAAATGAATCTTAGGAATTTCTCTCCGACAGAAACATATAGTTTAAACCTTGAGTTAATTATAACTAATTAGTTAATCATTACAGTATAAAAAATAATTACGTTGTCCTTTTGATTGATGTTGACATTTTCAATTATTAATTGTGATTTTTTTAGGAGATTAACAAAGTTATTAATTAATAGTTTTTTGCATAAAAAAATATTTTTGTCATCAAATTTGTTCTTATTATCTACCTCTGTTTTCTATTTTATTATAAAAAAACCTTAAAAGATCTGGATGTGTAACTTTTTATTCAGTGTAGCATTTCCCTTTTTTTTTTCTTTTTTTTTCTTTTTTAGGACTGGGTTGCTAGCAATTAAGAAAAGAAAGAAGGATTGGTTTTCGGTTTCTATACACTCTCAAATGATAATTGTTTCCCTTCTATATAAATAATTTATTGAAATTAGGTGTGAAAATATAAAAAAAAAGATTGTTATTTTTTTTAGTTTTACATATAGTTTGACGGTAATAGAATATATATAATATTTTTTAAAATTTTAGTTTCAACATATATATTTGATTATATTATTTTTATTATTTAAAATTATTTCTTCAATTGTTTGTTATTTTTTAAAATTCTCATCGAGTTAATTTTTTAATTTTATATAATTTTATTTGTTAATAAATTTGATTTTTTTATATATCGCTTTTGTAATAAAATTTTAGAATATGATTTTGTTATTTTTTCAAATATATTATTATAATTTATATGATTGATTATTTTTATGATTTTTAAATAAGAATAGAGTAGTTGTATATATAAATTCCAATGTGTGTGTGTGTGAGAGAGAGAGAGAGAGAGAGCGGAAGAGCTAAATGTGTGTTTTAGATAATTTGACTTAATTTTTTTTAAAAAATAATAATCAGCTAAAAAAATAATTTGACTTAGTTTTGTTAAAAAAATTAATAATTAATTAAAAAACTCATAGGTTTTATTTGGTTATATATATATAATCAAAACTTATCGAAATCAATTTTATAACAATTTTTATTTAAATCTATTCACTTCGATATATTCCATGCGATTTAAGTGAGTTTTTTTATATATATTTTTATTTATTTGATATACTTTGAATATGGTAAATACAATATATAAGAGAGAGAGAGAGAGAGAGCTAAAAATGTGTTTTAGATAATTTGACTTAATTTTTTTAAAAAATAATAATCGGTTAAAAAAATAACTTGGCTCAATTTTTTTTTAAATTAATAATTAGTTAAAAAATTCACGGGTTTTAATTGGTGTGTGTGTGTGTGTGTATATATATATATATATATATAATCAGAATTTATCAAAACTAATTTTATAATAATTTTTATTTAAATCTATTTACTTCAATATATTCCATATGATTTAAGTAGATTGTTTTGTATATTTATTTATTTATTTTATATACTTTGAATATGCTAAATACGATGTATATAGTTAGAAATTAGTTATATTTGCATATATAATACCGATTATTTATTTTGTTCATATTCTAACATTTATATTTTAAATAAACTAATTTAATTAATATTTTGAAAGAAACTTTTAATTATTCAAATATAAATTTTTATACTAATATTATAAATTATTTTGTTAATAAATATATAAAAATCAAACAAATTCGCTAAATATATAGATTCGATTTATATTAATATCCAGAAACAAAACATTTACTTGCATCATATCATACGAATTGTTAATCTTATGTATATAATGATTATCTAACCACAGCGTAGCGTGGGTATCTAACTAGTATTTATCTAGAAAAACTTGAAATTGACGAAAGACTTAAGTTGTAAACCAATTTAAGAGTATAAGGACTAAAAACATAGTTTTTGAAACTACTGGGAGTAAGTTATAATTAACCCTTAAACCTTAAATTAAATTAAAAATCCAAAAAAAGGAAAAAAATAAAAATATTAAACGCTGTCGTTTGATATAACTTCTCATAAGCCAAGTTCTCAGGTTTCACCACCGTCATCGGCCTCTGCCGCCAAAGCTTCTGTATTCGCTCTGGTACTAAACCAGAAGAGAAAATAACAGTGATGATGATGATGAAGAATCTAAAGTCCATGTCTTTTGAACTGCAAAAATCAAGGTACGTTTGTTCTTCTAAACTCCCATTTCTTTCTCTCCAAACCAATTCTCAAAACCACAACAACGACGACATGCAAGTAGATGTCGTTTATAACATCGTAAGTCACTCAACTTCCTCTCAAAACCTCAAACAATCCTTAAAATCTAATGGGGTTTTTCTCTCTAATGAGTTAATAGACAAAGTGCTTAAAAGGGTCAGGTTTAGCCATGGAAACCCTTTACAAGCGCTTGACTTCTTTAATTTTACTGCTGCTAGAAGGGGGTTTTATCACTCTTCTTATTCTTTAGATACTATGCTTTATATATTGGGTAGGAGTCGTAAATTTGATCATATTTGGGATGTTTTGATTGATATCAAAAGGAAAGACAGGGACTTGATAACTCCGAGGACTTTACAAGTTGTTTTAGGTAGAGTTGCTAAGGTTTGTTCAGTTAGAATGACTGTGGAGTCTTTTTGGAAGTTCAAGAGATTGGTTCCGGTGTTTGATACTAGTTGTTTTAATGCTTTGTTGAGGACTTTGTGTCAAGAGAAGAGTATGAGTGATGCACGGAATGTTTATCATCGATTGAAGAAGGGTTTCAGGCCCAATTTGCAAACTTTTAACATACTTTTGTCAGGGTGGAAGTCTTCAGAGGAAGCGGAGTTGTTTTTCGATGAGATGAGGGAATTGGGTGTTAAGCCAGATGTTGTTTCATATAATTCGTTGATTGATGTGTATTGTAAGGGTAGAGAAGTGGAGAAGGCATATAGGGTAGTTGAGAAGATGGAGGAGGAGGGTATATTGCCAGATGTGATAACATATACTAGTATTATTGGCGGGTTGGGGTTGGTTGGTCAGCCTGATAAAGCAAAAGATATGTTGAAGGAGATGGAGGAGTTTGGATGTTATCCAGATGTTGCAGCATACAATGCTGCGATTAGGAATTATTGTATTGCAAAGAGGCTAGATGATGCTTACAGTTTGATGGATGAGATGGTGGGTAAGGGCATGAGTCCAAATGCAACTAGTTACAATTTGTTCTTTCGAGTTTTTTCTAGCTCAAATGACTTGCGTAACTCTTGGGATTTATATGGGAGGATGATGGATGCTGAGTGCCTGCCGAATACTCAGTCTTGTATGTTTCTCATCAGGCTGTTTAAGAGGCATGAAAAGGTGGAGATGGCACTTCAACTTTGGAATGACATGGTAGAGAAAGGTTTTGGATCATATATTTTGGTATCTGACGTGTTGTTTGATTTACTTTGTGATATGGGCAAATTGGTGGAAGCAGAGAAGTGTTTTTTGCAGATGGTAGAGAAACGGCATAAGCCAAGCAATGCTTCTTTCAGGAGGATTAAGGTGCTCATGGAATTGGCAAACAAGCATGATGCCATTCAGAATTTGTCAGAGAAGATGGCTATTTTTGGGTCTTCAATTCGAGCTCCTGAAAGCATAGATGAGAGAGAATGTTTAGACCCACTTCCTAGTTTGTGACACGGTTGTAAGTTCTAAGTTGTGATTTTGAGCATCTAAATGACTGCTACCAGGATAGTGCCCTGCAGAGGAGGGCATGAATTTTTTTATGCCTCTGCTTTCTGCTGTTGGTAAATGGTGAACCTTTCTTCCTTCTACAAAACATTCTAATGGACAGAGTGGATCTTTTGATTGTCATCCTTGAAACCTGTTCTGTTGGCATACCTGCATGTGAGAACTCAGAAGATAACTTATTTGGCAGAACTTGAATCAGAAAGCTCTATCTTGTACCTGTCAATTCTTATAGCTTCTTATCTGACAAACGATCCTGTTCTTCAAATCTTTCTTCAAGACTGGGTGGGTTCTGATGCAACTTTGACAGGATACATTCAATTGAAGACTGAACTTCAATTGAAATAAGGCACAAGCCGAAAACCCGAGCAGATCCTGAGTGGATGAGAGAGGAGTTGGAGACCGCAATACTTGGCAACCACCTACATGGCATAAACCTGCCACAAGCTATGTACATGCTGTACTGCGTCTTTGTTGGTGTTGATATTGGATTCCTTTTTAGGGAGGAAACCAAGAATGAGAAAAATGGTGATGACCATTCATGCTGTACTGCTTCTTTTGTCTTTAGGGATTCAGAAATTCCTGAATTCTATCTGGTTCATTGATAGTTTCGATTTGATATTTTAATTAAACAACCATTCTTGGAATCCAAGGGATAATGACTGTTCAGATATGTTGGGGAATGCCTCGTCTGTTTTGCACTTTCGATGATGCAAAGGGCTAACTATTTTGGACCGCAGCTTTGTCAACTGATTGTATATAGCAATTGGGTGTGTTAATGCAATTTGATTGCCAGGAGACAACTTCTTGTTCTGGCAGTCCCTTCTGCTGCAAAATGGTATTCAGGAAGTTCCGAAACTTTCACCCTAGTGGAAGGTCATATGCAAGCTGGAAACAAATTGCTTATATTTACGTGTGTGGACTATTAATGCTATTGTGTAAAGAGCAAGTTAGAATTGATCAACAGGTAGTGTTAATTACCTGTCAATCAGTATTCTATTCTATGTACGTCTACTTCAAAAGCTTCTGCATCCAGCCAAATTGGCTATTTTCTATTTTATGTCAATTGGGTCGGTGTTGAAATCTAATCCATCTCTGCCACGAAAGGGCACTCTCCTCCAGCGTTATTTGACGTTTTCAAGACTTCTAGAAACTCACAGTTCTATTCGCTCAGTTTTTATTAGACAAATTGCAATTTTAATTCCCATTTGGTTTTGTGAAATCCAATTGTAGATCCCTTCTAAAATCTATCAAATGAGTCAGGTTTTGGCGGTGATAGCCCGTAGCCACCAACGCTTATTAATCATGACAAATAGCTTGAAAAGTAAAACCAAAGGAAATTATAGCTTATGATCAATAAACAAATAGCAAAATTTCTCACTCACTGAGCAACTGTTAGTCACATTTACACTAACAAATACCGTAAAATCAAGGGCTAATAGGTTTCCCAATCAAATTGCTCCTTACTATCCATTGTGTAGATTTTCTATGTCAAGTCTAATTAATCGTTGCAGAACAATATCCTAAATAAATCATAATATAATATCCATAACCATCAAATTCTGCTCCACCTCAAGGCATCCATCTTTTACCACATTCTAGGGGCTCAAGTTCGGAAGTATTCTCATGCTCTAGCTATTTCGACTTACTCTTTTTATTTGATTTAGAACAGCGTTCTTCTTTACCTCGCTTGTTCCCACTCCTACCACTCTCTTGCTTTCCATGTTTCTCCGGCTTAACTCTATTGGATTTTACGCTAATAACACCACCTGGGTTTATCTTTCCTCCGTGTTTTTGCAAAGCATCCTCAAACTCTTCTTCTCCCCCCACAATTGAATACTGTTGAAGGAATTCAGGATTCAGCAAACCCTCCGTCTTGGATTTCATCCCATCCTACGGTCAATTTAGCACTTTTAGAAAGAAGAACAGATACAAAGAATAAAGAAAGGAAGAGAAACAAAGGGGGAAAAAAAACACCTCAACTTGCTTTGCTGCTTCCTTTAGATCATCATCCACTGATATGCTGTGAGGTCTCAGATCCCTCTGAAAAATTTATTCACATCAGGACTTAGATTATTCTGAATTAAAATGTTCATACACTAGCAACAATAGAAGAACTCCATAAATTTTGTGCTAAAAAAAAGAGGAACTGCAGTGTAAAAATCTGTTTGACATCTTGATGATGAAGACTGAATGGAGAAAAAGGATTCATGTGCCCAAGCATGACTAGACTCGAAATCAGTTGAGTAAATGATGGAGAAAAGGGATAATTTTTCTAGGGTATGAATTATGAAATATTTATTGGATTAATATACTCAGATTGAACAGACCTCACACTGCAACTATGAATTATGTAATAGACATATATATATGCACAATGCATTTTGGCGTATATGAAGTTCAGGTTCATTATCAACTCACCTCTTTTAACCTGGGTAAGGTTGATTCTATGTCTTTAGATGCAACACCATGAAGATATTTGTAGAACTTCTTCATAACCTTGATAAAAAGTGATAAAATTTGTGTTCTTTCTAACTTCATTTGTTCCTGTAATAAAAATTCAGCAGAACCCTCAGTTTTGACATGCTAGATAAGCATAAAAAGGAAATATGAAAATCAATAGAACAGATATTAGTACGCATTAGAAATTGTACGGACGTAATCTTTATACCAAAAGCGACAAGCACTTTCCAACCCATTTTCAGAAAATTCTATGTCCACTTTCTTGCATACATACAAATATGGGCGCAAAGTGCATGCATGAGTGCATGTGTGAGCTATCTAACCAACAAGTTGAGAATCAAACCTCAATAAAGGTAATATTTCGTTGCTGCAAACCAACACAGAGTAAAACAGAAGCCTGAACATATGACAACGATATAGGAAGCTTTCCTCGAAAATATAGACGAGCCAGGATTGGAACAATGTCTAAAATCTGGAGGAACAAAAATACAAACCATTTAGAATCACACACACAAATATAGTACCTGACAGATCTTTGCATATTTTGACATTGCTAATGTTGCTGAGTTTAGTTATTGCCATGAGGCACAAATAATTTACTGGCTTAAGGCAATTCTGCTCTCTAGAAGTCATTTAAATCTCACTCCATCCTGGGCTTCAGCATCGATGGTAAATGAAAGGGGTAGGAATGGAGTAGGTATAATATTCTAAGGGTGCCGAGAGTTAGATCACATCTAACACACATTTTTCTTCTTTGATCTGAAAGAGGGGAAAAAAATACAGTTACCTTTTCTCTCAATACATGCCTACCCATATAACCTATTAAATTGGCATGCCGGTCTCCAATACATTACATGCTGACATGCCCAATTTTTGAGCTTTTACAAGAACAATCAAAAGCAAAGCTCTCCACTAAAAACGTCCACAACTCAAATATCCAAAGATCCTTGCCCATACTTCGGTTTTCATTGAATTTAAACTAAATTCTGCTATGGGTTGCAGTCACTGAACTACATACATGGGGGAGGGGTTACTTATTGATCCATCATATGCTAATTACATGTTTTTGCATCGACTTTAACTGGCAGATTTACTATTCTAGTTCAGGAAAGAACTAAAACTATGCTGTGAATAAATAATTTACATGTAAATAATCCTTTTGCCTTAGCATAATGATGCCAGGTGTACAAGTCCTGAAAGTCATTCAACAAACCAGAAAGGGTTCAGGACCTCAAGGTCCAAGGTATTTTCCAAGCAGAGATAGACAAATTTATATGCACGTGCCACATATCAGATTATTTATTATGAAGTAAACCGTTGATTCAATAATAACTTGCAGAGAATATATTACAATTGCCATTTGGATCTTACCAAATGAAAATCAGCAAGGTTTTCAGTATAAACTTTCAACCGTTCCAAATCATATAGTGATAGATCATCAGTAAGTGACCTCCAAAATCCATCTTGGGCAGATGATGTGGGTTCTTGCTCCATGTTGGTGTAGTTAATCTTAGGATCCAAGACGCTGAAATATAACAAGTAGCATGAGGATATTAAACAGAAATTAATTTGAAGGTAAAGTTTCAAATCTTACCTCATAGCAAGCTTATATTCCATTGAACGGAAACTATCACCTTCCAGTAGTCTAGCAAACCTTCGCTTGAAATCTGAAGATGGTTGAGAAATCGGCTTTAAATATGCAGAACTTAAAAAAAAAAAAAAAAAGTCTAAAAAGGTCATATTGATCTGAAAACAGGACTAACCTTGGTAAAATGGACCAAAAAAGCCCCATTCATCTGACCCACTAACTTCACTGTCATCGCTGTTTAATGGTTTGAGGACCATACATGAATGCTCACCGGTTACAGTATTCTGATTCAAAAGAAAACAATAAACAAATAAAGTTCACAACTAATTATCTATATATAAAACAGCATCTATCCAATCTGGGGAGAAAAGAACAAAAATAATAAAATTGAAAAGGCATCTTAACTGGAATTTGGCCGATGTAGAAGGGAGCAAATTTACGTCTCTTCCAAAAGCGAAGAAGGTCCAAAGTTAGCCCAAAGGAAACACCGAGGTAATGGAGCTTTTCAGGTCGCCGCTCATGAAGATGTACTAGCAAATGTGGAAGGTCTGTCCTAGGTTTTATATTTTCTTCTAACAAAGAAACCTACAAGCGCAATAGGTCACAAAAGCATATGACTACATTCATAGAAGTAATGGCCTATGCCAAAATAATTTTTCATGTGCAAACTAATGTAGCAAGATACTATTTATATTCATGGATTCATAGTGATACTTCTACATTGAATGTTCCGGGAGAAGAAATTATTGGTCTAGTAAAACTACACAAACTTTTGATAGGAGTTAGAAGTTTTTATCACATTGTTTAGCTTTAGAAGCAAATGTGGAAGGTCTGTCCTAGGTTTTATATTTTCTTCTAGCAAAGAAACCTACAAGCAAAATAGGTTACAAAAGCATATGAATCCATTCATAGAAGTACTGGCCTTTGCCAAAATAAATTTTCATGTGCAAACTAATGTAGCAAGATACTATCTATATTCATGGATTCATAGTTATCATTCTACATTGAATATTCAGGGAGAAGAAATTATTGGCCAATTGAAACTACACAAACTTTTGATAGGAGTTAAAAGTTTTTATCACATTGCTTAGCTTTAGAACCTATACTATAACAAGATAGTAAAAACCTCCATTTACTAGAATAGGAACCAAACGTGCAATTAATTTAAAGAATCACAACTACCAAAACATAATATAAAATCAAGATTTGTTCACTGATGGACCTTCTCTGCAGCTTCTGTAACCCTAACTTGAGAAATCTCTGCATCATTTTCATCATCTACTTCAGAAAGGGGAGTTATTTGTCCTTCAAAATACCTACACAGAGTAATATTGTAAATGCCTCCACTTCTAAGGAAATTTTAACTTGTAATTGCATCATGACATGATTTAAGCAAAGAGTATACTCATCAAGTCACTTTCTCTTATATACCAGAGTGCTAGTTATATCACACTGTTGCATATGCAGCAAAAACTTGGGATATATCATCACAAAACATATCAATGTAGATTAGGTTCTCATATTGGCAAAATCTTTTATTTCTTAAGATTAAAGTAACAAAGATGGTTATGTATCCATACTTTCTAGGTTTTACTGTGAGGAAAAGCAAGCAAAAATACAAGACTCTCAATCTTATAGACAGCTGTTTTCCTGAGTATTTAAGTGTAATTAAAAGAAGATTTTCTTCATACCACTTTTCAATAAAATTTGTCACTCATTTTGTCCTTACTTCATATCATCATTATTCCAACTCCATTATTATGTATTAACAATCTCACGTGGCAGATTTTAGCTCTAATTTTGAACAAACAGGCATGCAACACTGTGGTTCAACAAAATTAAACAGAACATTTAAAAAGCTCTATGGAAATCAATATCACAAACAATACCTGTATGAATATTTGTCCATACAACTAAATTTTCTTTATCTATAAAACAAAAGGTACAATAGTCAACACATCAAAAGAGGAGACCTCCATACTTCTCCTGTAAGCTGTATGTGTAGTAAAAAGCTAAAACTATCAAGTCAGCTCATATGCTAGCTTGTAAACCATAAAACTATATCAATGATTCAATGAAGTCTGGACTCTTCTTCAAGTGAAAAATTTGTTCAAACGTTCCAGATTTCGCCAGAAGGTTAATTCTGTACCAATGCAAGTGATTCTTGTTGAAATAGGAGCACTCATTGATCTAAGATAACAACTTAGCTCATAATTTGTAAGTCAAATCACCAATTATACAACAAATATTTAAAAATCATCTAAATACAACGAAGGAAAAAAAAGAAGGCTGCTGCAATATTTATTGTAATTGCTTTAATGTTTGTCAACCTTACCAATTGTAAGCAAGATCAAGTGCAATATCTAGTTAAATGATAATGTCAGAAGCTAGAGAGAGACAAACCTAGTTAAGAGCTCCACTGCAGCAGAACCGTATCCAAGCTGTTTTGAAAACCACACACACAAAAAAAAGGTGTATTACAATGCATTTCAAGAATCTGAAGCAACTCAATTTGGCACATTTAGATAGAGACTTACCCTCATTGCACTTGGATGGGTGGCAATGCGTACAATACGAGCGCCTGAAAAACTAGGGAAAACTGTATCACGAAATTGCTCACAGAATTTCCATGGTATTTGGTCCCCAGACGGTTGATGGCCTTCACTTAAGCTTTGCATTGCAGATTTACGAGAAATCTGGCCTTCAAGACAGACCTGTAAATAAAGACAGACCACAGCAATGAGAATTTATAATAGGGACCAAACCAGATTGTTGAACAACAGTTAGTTGAAGGAACAACATGCAGCTCAAATAGGGACCAAACCAGAAACTCAGACCGGTACAGGGAAAGGTAGGATTTGGATGAAAACAAATGCGATGTATGATGCAGAAATAAAGGTAATTAGGGAGAGGAAAACTTACCAATTTTGTAACATTAGCTATGAACAAAGAATCAAAAACCTTTTGGCCTGTCTGAAGCTAAATATTGCTATGCCCTCTACTCAGATGGCTAGGGTAGGCAATTAAAATTGGATGCTCAGACAACATTCTCAATCCTCACAAATTCAGAAGGTAAAATTTTTGTGGACAGTGTTTATTGGCTCAAAATAGAACAGCAGAACCCCAAAACAGATAACGAATCGATTAATCAAATTAATCAAAGAAAATAAACAACATAGCGTGCAGAGACATTATGTGAAAAGCAGAAAGGAGGTTCATAATAGAATTTACACATAAATAATTTACAAGGAGACTAGATATGAATTTCAAAACACATTAATGATTTGATTCACCATAGAATTTAATGCTACAGAAGAATAGCTAGAAGTGGTTTTGTGTCTCTTAGGTAGTTTACCTGGATGACGCATAAGATATCAGGAAGTTGATTTTTTGACTCATCAACAGGACCTGTGAATATAATATTAGTACAAACCTAATCTCATGCTGAAAAAATAAAATAAAATCAGTTCAAAGAAAAAGTTTTACCGAGCAACACGAATAAATGATGTGCAGGAGCGTCGGCCATTAGTTGCAAGTCATTAGGAGAATTTTTATAGTGAGATGCAACATATAATGCCATCATTCGCTGCACAAATTAAAATAAATAAGCCCCATATCTTGAATACCATTAACTAAATAGAAAAACATCAAATCACAAAGTATTTTACCTGCAGAAATAACTCGCTGTCTTTGTGATAGGAAAAAAGAGTATCCCGATTGACATAATAGAGATCACATTCACTGGGAGGGGGTAATCTAGTTGGGCAAACAAAGAAAGAGGGCATCAATAAAGTTTATGGAGATGGTTTCATAACAGAGATCTCAATGAAGATAGAGGCATCTTCAGATCCCACATATTCTCAGCAACTCAATTCTGACCTGCTGATACTAGGTATCGAATTCGTAACATCCAGACAGAGTAAGGCATTGAGCCAGGATTCTATTGGATCATGAGAAGCATATCTGATAGACTCGTTTAATTCTATCTTTTTAAAAGAACGACCTGCATACAAAGAAATAACTAAAACAGCTAATTCTCTAAATAAATAACCTAAACTCACAAAATTTAAAAACTTTCAAAAACTGCAAATTAAGACAACACCTAGAGTGTACTGTCCTTAGAACCATATGAGTAGAAGCAGAGCTCATTCAAGAGATTGTGGCCCAAAACATATAGTTGCCTAATAGGAAGCAATGATCACAGTATTCATTCTGAAATTTGTACTTTTTTCATCAATTTCAGTGAACATATAGCGAGTGAGCAACAAAATTATATAGCCCAAGAAGGATAGCCCTAATATTCTGGAAATGAGTTGGAAATATGATTTTACTAAGTTTAAGCATTTTATTCCAATATTGACAATAGCAACACAGATATTCCATGAGAAACATTAAGACTGATTCTACAATAAGCATTACATACATTCCTAGCTGCAATAGATTCATTCTTAAGAGACACGTTCATCATAAAAATATCAGAACCAAGTGCACATATATACCAGAAAGAGAGCCCTCCACATTCTTAGAAGATATCTGGCTTTGTTCTTCCAATTGCTGCAGAAGTTTTAGTGACAAGGATCGACCAGTACCTTCATAGCTTTAAGCAGAAAGACAAACATACGTGTATATAAGCATAACTTCATAGCTTTATAAGAGAAGTGCATTTAGCATGGTTAAAAAGAGCAAAATGGAAAAATACTACTGTCAAATAAGGAAATGGAAGCTTTCATTGGAAATCGATGGTCTCTTGAAGAAAAATGATAACTTCCAATTAAAGTTACAATAAAAGTATCATACCCATTCACAGTTGATGAAAGGAAAACCAGATATGGACCCAGCAGGGACCTCACAACTGGCAATGGAATTGCAGCAGCTTCATCAATAACAAGTAGTTCAACTTGGGAGAGCTTTTCATGTTCATGTGGCTGTATATACTGCAAGGAAATGCAAGAAACCAAATAGATTAGGTAATTAATTACATGATGTAGCAGATCCTCACAAACCAACATTTCACATGGAAGATCCATTATATACTAACCTGAATTGTTTGTCTGTGCTGCTTGAAGATATTAATGCGCACAGTAGCTTTCTTGAAATCAGGATTTGCACTTTTCACCACATCATAATCAATATGTTCCTGCAAATAAAAGGCCAGGTCAAAGGCTTAAGATAAAGGGTGGATAAAAATCAACACTTTCACAGGAGCCTGAGTGACCATATAGAGAAAACAGGAAAAACTGTCCTAAGAGACGTGTGGTTGACTATATAGAAAGAAATATATGTTCCAAAAATGGATTGAAGACATCACACACAATTGCTTCAGACCTGAACAATGTCCAGATATTCATGGCATGAGAAAGGAGCAGGAAACTAAATGCAAAAGGAAATCATTCATGTAGACACCACAGCTCTTTTTTTTTTTTTCCGAACTTAGAGGTTGAGCAAGCTGCAGTAAAAGAAAGTTGCAAAGTAAACTCCATTTCCTCCATAATGAATGTTGTCGAGATACATGTCAAGATACAGAATAATGGATACAAGGCCAGTTGAACTGCTCTATCAAAATGTTATGAATATAAAAGGAGCTGACTGCCAATTTTGTTTAGACATCATATTCCTTTATTGACCTTTGTCAATCAATTAGAAAATGTTGATTTGCTCAAACTCACATGCTAATAGAAAAGTGCAGCTGTGAAAACAACAAAAGCATTTATAAATGGCTTATTGATGAAGGAGCTAGAACTGCAGTAGCTTTCATTTAATTAGGGTTTTTCTTTTAATAGTTTATTTACGTATTATTTATTGTGGTAGTTTGGACAGCTAAGATTTAGTTATTTGTAAGGGCTAGGATTTCTTTTACTTACGGTATTAACTAGTATTTAAGGGCCACTAATGCTGTAATAAGCAACAAATTTGATACATTGATAATTTTATAAAGAGTTTGTTCTCTTTTTTTGGCTTTTCAGCCTCGACAACCAGCTGTTGGCTGCATTGGCTACCTTTAGCCATCTTTTGCCTTTTTCCCTACATCACTTATACTGATTTGATCAAGAAGCATATCATTCCAAGCAAAGGGAAAACGCAAACTGTACCTTGTATTCAAGTGCATCAAATCCCTTGCAGATGAATTCAAACAAAGTTTTTAAGTTTTCAGGGCTGGGTGCGGTAATAAATATATTTGAATACCTGCACACAGCATTTTCTTTATAATTATTTGAACAACAAAGGTCAGTTAGAGTAAACACGCACAACATCAAACAAAAATGTAGCACTTGATATCCACATTACCCAGCCGCAATAGCTCCAGCGACTGCTAAACCAAGTGCAGCAGATTTCCCACGACCTCGAGCAGCAAGCAAAGCAACTGTGCTACGCAGCGTCTTATCCAAAATAGAATCAAGGAATGTAATCACAGCTTTTCCCTATCAGACATAAAAGTTTTAATGCAAACCAATAAAGACATTATGAAGTATCAGCCACATTAGTTATCCACTTTCAAAGAAATAAATGCCAGGTTTTCTCTACCTGATCTAGTGTACAACACTTTTTAATTAAAGGACCAACAGGAAAATCCTCATGTAGTTGTTCTTTCAAATTCTTCAGGTCTCGTTCTGCTTCTGAAAGCCCTTCAGAGTCCTATGGAACAGGAGACAAGATTACTCAAAACATTTAGATAAAACTGGAATACTTGATGCATTAGGTATGCTGTTAGTATGTCATAAATGAAAGAATCACTTGCTATAAAGGATATACTGAACCAAATCTTCACTAACTATTTTAGTTATGATATTACAGCTACAGAAAAAAATTGCAACCCAAGAAAAAAAAGATGAAAATTTTTTGCAGTCAGTAAAGAGGCCACACCTCTTTAACAGGAACTGGGGTGATTGACCTTATATGAGAAGAAATAGGTAAAATGTTGAGCTCGTCGTCCATAACCACACATGCTTTGCATGAAGCAAGTGATAACAAGAACCGTTCATTAAAGCGCCCAGTTGCCTCAGAATGGGACTCAGTACGAAACCTCTCATGAACATCCTGAAATCAGTAAAACCTTCAATAATAAGCCTTTACTTCTAAGCATGAAAAAGGCTCAAAGAATAGATTGACATTGCCTCATAAATCTTATCAAAAAACAAGGAAGAGTATAATTGCATTTTCCAACCATCATCTACCATTCCGATTCCACCACAAGACACAAAATGCAACATCATCAAAGAGAGTTAAAACAAAGACAGCATAAACAATCTTCCCCCATCCTTTTCTTTAGCAGTGCTCTTAAGAAATGTAGAAACTGAAAAGCCTTAAATACCAACAGGACATTTGAAACATACCATAACCATTGTGTACAAACTGGTCAACGAGGATAAAGAGCGAAGCAGCAACACAATCAGTCCACCACCTTCAACTGTTTCTACCGTTCTAGCCAACAAATTTGGAGTCAAAGCCTCGAAATCCTAAAAATAAATACAACACAAGATTTTCCCTCAAAATAACTAATAGAAAGACAAATCATTAATTAATTAATTAAGGGATGAGCGAAAGCTAAGCTAAGTTTTGTTTACCTGTAATATGCACATTCCAAAAGTATTGCCAAGAATTCTCTCTGAATCCTTATACAAACAGTAGGTTAATCCTCCAGTTTCAAGAAAGAGCGAAAAAGGATCAACTTTCTCGGGATCCAACAGTCCCCTCTGCATCAACTTTTTCACCTGCTTTGCTCGTTTTTTCTTGTGACTGCATCATAAATTCACAAAATCAAAAAAATAATTTTTGGTTTTGGTTTTCGCAAATTAATGCAATATCCAGTTAAAAAATAAATAAATAAAAAACAATAAGAAAAACCTGCTAAGTTCAAGTTTATCCTTGTAGCACCACAAAACGGACGGTCTAGATTTCACCACTGCCTTGCTTAGCATATAATGAAGATTCACAATCTGCATCACAGTGGAAGATTACCGCTATTACATTTCTATTATTATTAAAAAAAAAAAGAAATTGAAAGAAAACAGAGAAGGGTGCAAGCGCATGCCTGGTCACGTGACTTGTCGCCGATGATAAGGAAGATAGAACGGTGGCGTAATTTGACGCCATTTTCAATGAGTGTTCTGATTCTCTCGTCCACCTTCTTCCTCATTGTTATAAGCTTCACCTATGTATCGAGTGTACTTCGCTTGCTTTTTTCCTTTCTGCGTTTCGACGGACTGTTGCCGCCGATTCGGCTGCTTTGCTGTGATGATTCTTAGTTTCTCTCTGTCTCCGTGTTTTTTGGTTTTGAGGGTTTTAGTTGGGTTTTGTTAAAAGAGGAGGCGATGGTGGCTGTTAAAAACTTAAGATGGAATGGAACAAAAACGAAAATTGGATGTTTGGTACCCAATGTTTTGTTATTTTTAATTGAGTATTCTCTTTTTTAATTTTAAATATTTATATCATCGCCAAACTTACTACCATCAAATCCAAACCGAACAAATTCGTAAACATCTACTAAAAATAACAATGATACTCAAATAAAAAAATAAAAAAAATCAGTAATTTAAACAATTAAAATTGAAGATAAGACCCTCGAATAGAAATTAATTAAAAGTTAGTGTCTCAGACTTGTTGACTAGTTAGATATAGTTAGAGGACTGATTTGTAGTTATCCGTAAATAATAGGCACCCCTTTTTATCCTTCAGGCATCATCATCTGGGTAATGAAGATGGAAACCCCAGTTCTTAAACCCCCCAGCCACAGGCAGTGGCAGGGTTTTGAACGAGTAATCTTCTTGATTGATTGATTGATTGGTTGCTTGCTTCATCATCCAAAATGGCTTCAGCAAAAACATTCTCTCCTTCCTCTCCATCATCACAATTTCAGCATTTGAAATTGTCAAAAATTTGTTACTTCTCCACTTCACTAAAGCCACCACTATGTTCCATGAATCCACTCAACATCCACAACAGGTGCGAACTACACATCTCCGCAAAGCTCTTCTGCATGTCTTCCTTTCCTCAAATACCCACTTCAAATCTCTCCAAAACAAACAACAAATTCACCAAAGTTTTGTCTGATAAAGTACTGGTTTCCCTTGTTGGGGCCTTCATTTTTTTTGGTTCTTTTGGTTTAAATACTAGGCAAAGTTTGGCACTTGCTACTCAAACAAGTAGTTCTAGTGTGAATTTAGAGGAAAAGAAAGATACCCAGATGGAGAAAAGTGAGGATGAGGAGATGTATGAGAAGCTTTTGGAGAAGGAGCCAAGGAATGTGGAGGCTTTGAAGGTGGTTGTGCATGGGAAGATGAGGAGAGGACAGAATAAAGAGGCTGTGAAGTATGTTGAGAGGTTGATTGATATTGAGCCTGAGGAAGTTGAATGGAGGCTTTTGGAGGCATTTTGTTATGAGATGATGGGGCAATTGAGTAAAGCTAAAAGGCTGTTCAAGGAAATCTTGGAAGAGAGACCTCTTTTGCTTAGAGCTTTGCACGTATGATTCTTGATTTGGTATTCCTGTTTTCAGTTTCATCTTGCTGTTTTCTTTTTTCGTACAAGTGAGTAGCTGTATCCATATGCAGCAAAAATAACTATTACTTGGTTCTGTGTGCTTTTTTTCTCTCTCTCTCTGTCTCCATATGCATGCCTATACATACAAATTTAGATGTTTGGAAAGTAGCACAATAGCATTTGCTGCAAACTATCTGTTTTGAAAGTTCGGAGGCTGACTGCTAACTGAGTTGGAATATGGAAGATAAATAATTTGGTCAGTTTATATAATTGCTTTGTAGAGGGATATGTAATTAGTTTTAACAGGCACAAGCAGATGTACAACCATTTCTGTAACTGACCTCATAAAGCTTTTTCTTAATTTTACCGAAGGTTACACTTTGTTCATTACAGGAACAGAGACCGTACTGCATTGATGAATGCAGAGGCTTGAGCTTGGAAGCTTGGAGCCATTCCAATTGGTATTACTTTGTGAGGTCTTTGTGTTAGAAACCATCTCCTCACATATGGTCAAACCTCTGGTTCTCAATATAATTGGTTCTAACCTAGATTTATTTTCTCGAGTTCCTTGGTTATTAAAATCCCTCAGCTTGTTTCCTTTTGAAGATTTGCCACCACTAGAAAGATGGCTAGGGAAGAAATCTTTAGGAATATTGATGTGTTTGGAAGCAATTCAATACAAGTGGAGTTTGAGAGAATAGAAACTACTGAAATTATTTGTGTTGACGATTCTTCTTTGATATTACGATTTGAATATTGGTATATAAGATTTTTATGGTAACACAAGTTAATGACAAGAATCAAATTTCCTTTTTCTTCTTGCCAGTTGTAGTTTTTTGTGTTTGAATTTGGTCCCTTAGATTTCTGAAATTCATTTTCTAGTTAAACCATACTTTGCATCTGTTTCAAATAATTCTGTGCTTGGTACTTGCTCACCAGGTTAATTGCTCAAATGTTGGAATTCTTATCACTGTTTCATTTCTATTTGGTTATACTACAATGAGCAACGTGCGAAGGACCAGTAATGTCTAAATAGGATTTCAAAATCTCAAGTGTGTCACTGATTTGCAGCATAATAAGGATTTGGATTAGAAATGAGATTTCAGTCATTCCAGCAGTAATCAGATTTCATTCCTATTGCTCCTGATATCATGGAATTCAACTAATAATTGGCTTTCTTATTGGCAATTAGAATGGAAATTCATCCCTTCAACAACAATAAGATAATTCTTTCTGTTCCTTCTGTAGATGGGTTTAACAGTTCCCTATGTTTCTATTAATTATGTGCAAGTGTCATCTTCATCAGATTTCAGTAGTGCAGGTCGCTAGTTGATGGAAAGCTATGAACAACTTCACAAGACCTCAATGTTTATAAAAATATCCCTAGGAGTAGCTCCATACCTGATGCCAAAATTGAACCATGAATTTTGTGGTTGTATAGGATTTCTTAGAGAACCTTTGCCTTTTTAGCAAATCCATATGCCATCACATTTCTATGTTGATGCCAACATCTGTGACATTTTAGTGTTGTTTCTCTTTAGTGGCGAATAAAAATAATATGTGGCCCTCTGTTTGGTGCAGGGTCTGGCATTGGTGATGCACAAAAATCTGGAAGGTCCAGCTGTCTTTGAGATGCTGAATAAAGCTCTAGAAGTTGCCCGTCGTGAAAATAGAGTCACTGAGGAAAGAAACATTAGAATTCTAATTGCACAAATGCATGCTGTAAAGGTGAATCCTGTCAGTTAGTCCTTTCTTTCCCTGGTCAAGTGGTATGAGTAGTGTTTGGCCTAGTAAAAATTGTTCCACCCTATGCTTTGTGCAAAAGCATGCTTAAAAATAGAGCATTAACAAGTGACATTGAACTGGAAAAAGGAAAATTATTGATTGGGGAGACTGAGGATAATGGATCAAGTTAACCTATTGAACTTCCCATTTTTAATATGCGAAAACTTGCATACTTTGCAGGGGGAATTGGAGGAGGCTTTGAAGAAATTTCAAGGTCTGGTCAGTGACAACCCACGAGATTTTCGGCCTTATCTTTGCCAGGTAAGGTTGTTTTAATTATATGTTCATTCTTGCAAATGGGCAACACATATTGATTCTTTCAGTTGTCTTAAGGTAAAAAGTTTGAGTCGCTACACCTTCTTTTTAAAGATTTCAAATCTGCTCATAATTCTTACCTTTATATTGAAGTATGTTGCCTCCACTTTATGTCAAATTGCTGGTGTCCATAACATGTAACTTTTGACAGTATGGTTGTCTATATTCTGTTGAGACTTCAGAAAGAGACATTATACCCTTAAATGCTACTTGCTGAGCACTTGGAAACAACTCATATATATAACTAGTAGCAGCAAGCACAGTTACTGATATGATGTTGATCAAATATAGTATTATTGGCTCTTCCCATGTTGTTATATGTAACATACCACAAAATTTGGAAAAGAACAAGTTCTGTGTAAGCCTCAATCTCTTACAACAAATATTTATTACATATTGTGCAATGACAGCAACTAACAGAATGGAGTTGAATCATAAAGAATTAAATATTACAGTTTTACTTTTATCAATAACCATTTATGGGAATTTGTGTCAGGGAATAATCTACAGTCTGTTGGATAGAAAAGAAGAAGCTGCAGAACAGTTTGAAACTTATCGGAGTCTTGTGCCTGAAGAATTTCCACAAAGGATATTTCTTGATGATGTTGTATTGGAAGCAAAGACCAAGTCCCGCGAAAGGTTTCAAAAGGAATTTCAAGCTGAATTCACACACAGGAAGTAAAGCACCAGTTTAGTTTGGGAGTGTATTGTACTGGGATGAGAAACTCTTGGAAATTTTTAGTTAGAAAGTAAATTTGGGTATAGATTAGTTACACTCTCACTGTTGACTTGAATGCCTAGGGCTGCAATTTGTGATGGCATTGGATTACGTGGAGACTGCACTTTTTTAAGAATCAAATTACTAGGTTATCGTTTGGATAAATAATATTTCAGTACAATTAGAAGCAGTTTTGTTGCGTTTGTACTGCAACAAGTAAACTTCCTGGTTCCCATCCCATTTTGGCTCTCATGGTGAATCAAATAATTTTATAATGCTGATGAGTTTCATAACCTGCATGTTATAGTGAGACATCTAGGTCCTATGGTAATCTTCTCTGACAGAAAAATGAGACTCCTATTTCCCCTTAGTTCACTGATTCTCATTTTTTTTCTTTCACTAGTTCTGTGACATTTGATTTCCACATATTTGAGTCGAGGCATCGATGTTAAAGAGGATATGCCTCACTTTCTTTTTTCACCAGTTTTGCATTTTGTACATGCAAGGCAACTTCCATGCATCGGAAATGGCCAATATCTGCAAAACCTGGATCTGATTCGAAGTCGGGAAGTCTTTTTCTCTAGTTTTCAATTTTTAGGCACAAATTACCTCATTTACTAATGATCAAAACAAATTTCTCACGATGTCATTTTAGGGGAGAAAGCACTCCAATATCGAGTAATGTCCAAAAGTTTTAAGCTATTATTTGCCTTTTTCCCCCCCCCCCCCCCCCCCCTAAAACGGATGTAAAGTTATCGCATGTGATAGAAAAAAGTTGGTTTTTTTTTTTTTTTTTGGGTACATAAAATAAGTAGAGAGTAAAAAACTAGCTCCTAAAAGCAACACCAATTAAATCGGGTTGAAGAGTTTGTCCAGTCCTGGAGGGGGAGCTTTTCATATATATGATCCAAAGTAAGCTTACTGGACCCTAAGCGAGCAAGGCAATCAGCACATTGATTACCTTCCCACTAAGTAAGCAAGATCTTAACTTGAGCTCAAATCAAGTCGAAATAATCAATTTGCCAGTCATCCCCAACTAATCCTCCTAGCTTCCCATCACTCTAATTTTCTAACTAAGCTTGAAGTTGATCTGCAAGAGGAGATTTTTGGGTTTCAAAAATCTAGAGTTCAGTGGCTCCAATATGGGATCGTTGTACTCGCTTTTTCCATGCAACTACCATTGCTAGGAGGAAAAGAAACCTTATTGACAGGCTTCGATTAGATAATGGTAATTGGATCTCTGAAGTTGAAACTGTCAAACATGAGGTATTGCATTTCTTTCATGATTTATTTTGTACAACCGAAGACATTGCTTCTCTTTTTCCTTCTTTTGAACACCAACCCAGGCTTAGTCAGGACCAGTTGACAAGCTTATTGCGACCGGTCAATAAAGCTGAGGTGTTTTCTGTCGTGAAATCCATGCAGTCTTATAAAGCTCCGGTCCCAGATAGCTACCAACCGGTGTTTTATCAAAAGTTCTGGCATGTTGTTGGAGATTCAGTCTTACGCATAGTTCATGAGGCCTTTAATTCAGGGACTCGTCCTACCTAACTTCTTGAAACTAATATTGTTGTGATCCCGAAAGAACAACACCCGGTGAGTAGGAAGCAGTTTAGACCCATCAGCTTGTATAATGTGAGCTACAAAATTCTTACTAAAGTTTTAATCTAAAGAGTTCGACCTTTATTGGATCAACTAATAAATCCTCTTCAGAGTGCCTTTATTTTTTGCCACACATGTACTGACAATATTGTGCTAGCTTAAGAACTCATGCAACCTATTCGTCGGTCTAAGAAGAACATGGGATCTTTAGCTCTGAAAATTGATTTAGCTATGGCATATGATAGGGTGGATTGACGGTTCCTCGAGCAGACTCTGTTTGACTCTTTCTATTCGCGTTACCTCTTTGTGCTCTGTATGGAAAAATTATATCTTCTTATTGAGAGCAAAGTTGCTTCTTCTTTGTGGAAGCCAATCCTAGGTCTTCAGATATTATCTAGGGTAGGGAAAAGCCTTGTGTTCGTGTGTTATGTAAGAAGTATCTCCATGAGGACTTCCTCCTGACTCATCACACTCCTCAACTGGCATCTCTGATTTGGAAGGCTATATGTAAGTCTATGTCTTACCTAAACGATGGCTATATTTGATTGTTGGACATCCTCTTATGCTTTAAGGCACTATGTTCCTTTCACTGTTGATAGGGAAATGATATGTTGGTTGTGGATATCATATCTACTTCTAGTTGTTGGGATCTTTCTCGGATTCATACAACTCTCCCATCTGATATTAGTTCCTTTCTACTGGCCACTCCTCTTTCCAGAGTTTTTATTATTGATAGATTAGCTTAGGGTGAAACTAGTTTTGGTCAATGCACTGCGAAGTCTGAGTATGAATTCATCAGTAGAATTCCTTACCCAATGGAGCTTAATGCTCATTTGGAAGAGTATCTGAAGGTTTCCACTATCCCAAAAGCATCACTTCTTTCTTTGGCAATTAAAGTGGCAGTGCTTATCGAGCAATGTTCTTCGATTTCATAGAGGATTAAAGATATCTCTCATTTGTGCTAGATGTGGGGCAGCCTAGGAGTCAGTTATCCATATTCTCCTAGAGTGTTTATGGGCTAAGAATGTATGGCAAAATCTTCATCTCCCCCTCCCAACTTCTTTTTCTATCTATCTTGGGAGGATTGGTTTCATAAGAATGTTTTTGACAACTCCATTCCTTGAAATTGCCATAACTATTTTAGATTAAGAGCTCATTGAATTATATATATATATATATATATATATATATATATATATATATATATATATCACATCAAACTTAAAATATCTTCATACTAGTCTCATTAACAGAAAAAAAAAACTGATATAGGAATTTCAATTTAAGATCTCATAATAAATTTTTATGAAAATTTTGATTGATTCGTAAATTGATTCGCAAATATTTTTATTATAGAACCAAAATAAAAATAAATCTACTTCTTAAGATTAGAACTTACAAGAAAGGCAAGGCAGCTTACTTCTAAACATTGCGAACCCAATCGAAACCATTTTTATACCCATAGGGCATAAATGTCCTCTTCAGACAGTGAGTCCGCACGACACGAGTGTCTCTCTCTAACAAACCATGTCTCTCGAAACAGCCCCTCTCTTCCATTTGAAAACTGGTCTTCTACTAAACCCTCGGTTCCCTGCCTCCATACCAAGTCGATCTCCGCTTCACTACCACCGGACTTCATTTCCTTCCCAGGCTTCTCAGTCTTTTCGCGCCAAAACAACAATTAAGCCCAAAAAAACTGAACTTCCCGCTGTTTTGGAGTCTGAAACTGCGGTGACCGAGAAGCAATCTGAGCCGCCAGTGAGAATAGTCTCCATTGTTGGCGCAGGAAGCATAAGCCCTTTAAAAGGCGCTCCGTGGGATGAGGTCATGCTCCATACAGTAAGTATCAGTGCTAGAAATACTTTTAGTTAAAAGCTCGGAGGCATATCCCATTAGTGGAGGTAACTTTTACATGTAACTGCATGTGTGAAAAATGCAATGTTCCCTACTTTGAATAATAGAAATTGATGGAAAAAATTTGGATAACTCACTTTTTATGAGAATTGTTCAAGATTGTCCTTATGATTGCATCACCCTTTTGCATCAAGTGTATGATAATGCAAGAGGATTATTAAGGATGGGTGGTTGTCATGCTTTCTCTGGTATGGGAATTCCTGGGATTGTGTGGTTTTAAATGTTTAAAAGTCAAGTCCTATCTTGGATTAGCTAGCTTGCATTAGACTAGTTCACCTCCCACGATAAGTCAAGCAAATTTCATAAATGCTTGGGCTAGAGGGTTCTAGAGGAAAATCCTATTAGCTGTAGCTGTCCGAAACTTGAATGGATGACCTTAAGATAGCAAGGCTTTTTGGACCCGATCACTAGAGATAATCCTTTGGGTTATTTTGTGGTTGTTATTGTTTTGTAGTAATGAAATGCTGAAGAATGTTAGCTCCAAATGTTGGGTGTTTTTCTTCTTGTTGTTTTTTTTATAGTGAAGACGCTATGCCTTAAAGAGTTTGCAAGATCATGTTCTTTTTCGGTAACTCTATCTTTCCATTACTAGGCAAAAAGATTGAAGTGGGTTGATGAAGGATATGAAATGCTGGTGTTTACTGATGATCTATATCAATCCAAGGATCAAACCGAGACTCTGCTAAAGGCATTGAGCTGTGCAGATATACTGCTGATAGTGGCCATTACAGATCAAGAATCAGTCAAGTGGATCCAAACCAAAAGCAAAAATGTTCCAAACATCGTATGCTTTGACTCATCTCCGAATCTAGTGAACAAATTGGGAGGATCTTATGTTCAGAATGAGACCAGTGAAATCTTCTTATTTGGAAAAACATTTGGAATTTCTCAGTCGAAGAAAACTGGTGATTCTATGGATTTAGTGCACACTGTATCCGAAGCATGGGACCGGCATAATTCAGATGACATTAGGTTCTGTGTGCTGGTAATAATCAATGCGTATATAAGACCTGTATCAATCCTAAAGAACCTGAGATCAAAGGGGTTTTCTACCTTGAATTGCATGGTTAAAAACTGTGGGCCTCAGATATTAAACTGTCTATTGGATCCTAACTGCAGGAAAGCTCTTCAATGCTTGAACAAATGCAGCCCAGTCGATCAGGTGTGTAATTATAGATGTATTGCTTCTTATGAGAGTCCAAATCTGGAAGCATTTTCTCTGTGTGTGTTGCAGAAGAACAATTGTCTTGAATTGGATGCAAAGATCCCTGAAAAACCTTATGTGCCTCCAATGGCTAAGTTTCGAGGGGAGGACTTAAGTAGCGAAATTGCGGAGGATCTTTTTGTGGGTTGGTTGGGAAGTCTGGACTGGAGTTGGCGGGTGGTTGCAGGACAGAACCCAGCTTATGATCAATTTCCATGTCAGTACCAGTTGTTCTACAGGGGGAAGGCAAAAGGTTCATTTTGGTATGAGCCAGTTTTCCAGGTCAAAACTCTCGAGGGGAAGGTAGTTTGGAGGAGAAGGAAGTATCGCGTCAAAAGAGGCAAAATTCCAGGAACATTTTACTTTAGCGTTTTGGACAATGGTGTTGTTTCGAATGAATTTTGGACGATTGTGGATGTAGCTGATGATTTTAGTTGGGGTTTATTTCATTACAGTGGGGCTGCTCGAGTTGCAGGACAGTCATATACAGGAGCAGTGCTTGTTAGTCCAGATGGGGCCTACCCAGCTGAAAAGGAGAGCAAGAGATTGGTTTCTGCTTTGGAAAAGTGTGGAATAAAAGAGTGGGAGCTATTTACTGTTGACAATTGTTCATGCCAAGATCCTCCACTTGGACTTCCAGAGGGCTCAAGTTTGCATTCTGCAATTGATGTTAAAGACCAGAAATGGACCTCCACATAGTTATATCTGGAAGTTTTGATCTCAGCCTTTGGCTTAGCGGCAGTCCCGACTTGGATGGGTCATGAACTTATGAGTGCAGCACCAGTAGGTAGATGAGGCAACGTCAGCAGATTGGTGAGTATTGTATGGTTGTCAAATGGGATTTGCTTTGAAAGATCACATAATCAAATTTTCTTTGGGTTCCATTTCATTCAACCGTATCCTTTGTTGAAGGAAATGCAGTGGCAGATACTTTAGCTAGGAATAATCTTCATAGAGATTGTGAACAAATTGCATGGATATAGTTTCATTTTCTTCACAGAGATTCTATTGTACTTACATATTTCATCTTTGTAATCTTGCCAGCTACCAGCTGGCAACCTTCTTATTAATTTAATCAAAAAGAAAAAAGAAAAAATAGAAAAAGAAAAGGCGTAAGCACAATGCCAAACTCTTGCATGTTAATTTGATATACAAAACTCAAAAAACGAAAAATAACAGTTTCAAATGCTAAGGCCAATCTATCACTGAAAGAAATGCAAATAATTGGCACTTGTTGTGGTAAAACTAACTTCATTGCTAAAGAAACCTCTTTGTGCTGTTTCAACTACAGATTAGAGATCGAATTCCACTCATACTCTGAGGTGGAGTGCTGATAAAAGATTAGAAGAATTATTTCACTATATATATAGATATATATAGCCAGGCCATTAAAAAATGATAACCAATAAATGGACCAATGAGAAAAACGTACAATACTAATGCTGTAAAATGGTTTTTTTGTGTTAAAACACTCATAGGTAGGTCTTATGGCTCTGGTGTTATTACATCAGAGTAAAAAATGCCAACAGTAATCCTGGAATAATGCTTGCTCCATATGCCAATTTGAGTCTCTCCCCAGCTCCAGCAAGCTGCAATGGGAAAAGGCAACTTCCCTGAGAGGCATTTGTTTTAACTATCATTGCTAACCCATTGAAGTCACATGCCCCTTCATCTTGATTATGCATCTGGAAGTACATATTAAAAGCATAAGAAACATTGCCATCAATGTCCATTTTGTTGCATGCTGATCCATAGCCCAAGCTTGTGCAATCAGACTCAGAGCAAGCATAGCCGATCTCATTTGCTATCATGGCCAAGTTCTTGTTTTCCTCATTAAGCACACACCATTGAGGTCGCATGTACTGGACTCCCTTCGCTGCTATTAACATCTTGTCGTTGCCTTTTCCGGACAAATCTATGGGAAATTTCGGCTGCCCGTCGTAGCGAAAGAGTCCCCAGTGTCTCTCAAAATTTCCTGGTGCAATGCTCTTCTGATTCTCGTCGATTAGGTCAAAGAGATACACATCCAGTTGGCCTGGTCGGAGAGGGGTTCCCTTCTTGGCAGCCAACTTTTTCAGGAGGCCGTCGTAGAACTTTTTGGCTAAGTTGTTATTAGCATTAATGTTACCGTCCGTAGGCCAACCAACTTCCCCAACTACGATCTTCAAATCTTCAGCGTTGTTCTTCTTCAGCGTCCAAACGAGAGTATCATAATTTGCATCGAACACATTGGTGTACGAAACATTTTTATCAGAAATTGTTTTGCCACTACCATCAAAGAACGCATATTCAAAGGGGAAGTCAGCGTTTTGATAAAGACTAAGGAATGGATAAATGTTAACAACAAAGGGAGCTTTATTTTGCTGGAGAAACTTCACAATCTGAACCATGACGTCCTTTACGTCCTTACGGAAATTACCATCGGATGGTTTGTTGGAAGGGGATTCGTAAACATCAGCATTAATGGGTATCGTAGCTTTGATTTTGTCTCCGACTCCAGCTTTGTCCAAAGCCTTTTGAACGTTTTGCAACGCTGGAAATGTAATATTGTCAAATGTGTTATTATAACTTGACAAGAAAGGCTCATTCCCAACAGCCACATATCTACAAAGAAAGACAGATAGAGCAAGGATCAATTAAATATGAAGCAGGGACTAACCGGAATTTATATAGAACAAAGATGACAAGCATGGGCAAACAAAGATGGAACGTAAGATTTTCGAACTAACTTGATGTCAACACCCCCATCATGAAGATGCGCGGTAACATTTTCTTTCACCCAATCTTTAGCATCCTCTATACCATCGGCTAGTATGTACAGCTGGTTATTAGGGATGCCAATCATGACCTCAATGCCCGTACCAGACAAGGCCTTCAAGGTCGGAGAATCGGAATCGAAAAGCTTAACCTTAGTGATGCCGTTGTCTTTCAACATGTTAACCACTATATCAGGCGGCAATGGATGAAAAGCCATTGTGCCCCAGTTCACGCCTACACCTGGTACAACAGTTGAAAGGACGTGAACAACATTGGGTGATGCCAAAATCAAGCAGCACGACCATACGAGCAGGCAGGTCCTGGCCATGGTCTGAGCCGGTTCAAACCGCAAGAAAATATTAATTATTAAGCTAGGTAGTGTCAGAAGCAATATTGGCAATGGAAAGACTTTTCTTGATGCAGAAACGAGAAAGGATGGTTAAACGAGAGTTTAGAGGAGTTTGGTTTTTACAGGTTGTTTAAGCTCGAATGACAGAATGATACATTCATAACTCTTTAACAGATTTGCTGTACTTGGCAAAGTTTCATGAGCCCACCAAAATTCGGGTGGAAGAAGTTAAAATTAGCATGTGAATGCTTGGAGGTGAAAGAAGGGGCAAAGTTTATCATAGAAACATTTCACCCTTTTGTTTTTTTACTGATATTTGTTAATTTGACTCATCATGCCACTTGGTATTTATTACTAGATAATATTCCATGGAGAAGATTATGTAGAAAATCAAATGGAAGCAATCAAAGGAGACAATTGAGCAAATCAAATATTTTCTTATTGATTTTTACTTCATTTTAATTAATTGCTGCGTCCATAATAATCTTCTTCTCACAATATTTTCTAATCTCTAATGGGTATAATATTAATGTTGTTGTTCATCATCTACGTACTCTACTTTCTTTCATTGATCTCTGCACCAAAAAAAAAAAAAAAAAAAACTATAAGAATTGCACAATAATAAATAATAATGACAAAGCATTAATTTCTCGTACAAAATCACACCTTTCTAACAACCTAATAAATAAATAAATAAAAGCTATGATTATAGCAAAATAATAAGAGTATTTTTTCATATATAGAAAAATAAATTCTTTATTGATCCTATCTTAAATATATTATCTATCTTGGGTTTGGTTTGGTTTGGTGTATGTATAAGAATTAGAATAAATATATTCATCTGTCCTTATATAATACTTAAAGTCTTTCATATATTCTTAAATTTTAAATTGCATTTCATATATCCCTAAAAGTTTTAGAAATATTCAATTTGTCATTCTAATCAATTTTTTCGACTATGGACAAACTTTTTTTAATTGAAATATCCTTTACATGAGGAAAAAAAAAAAACTTAAAGTCACATGATCTATATTTTCTATTTTTCAAATCTTTAGAATTTTATTTATATATTTATTTATCTTGCATTTCAATTAGGGTATTTTCATCAAAAATATATGGTTAGAAAAATTAATTAGAAGGACAAATTAAATATTTCAAACACTTTGAGAGACAAATTGGATATAATTGAAAATATAGAGACAGATATGTGATTTTGAGTATTAGATAAGGATATATGAGTATATTTATTTAAGAAATTATTTTAAACCTCCAAGTGGGTGTTAGATTAAATTAACTAGTAGCTCACACTATGCTACCAATCGGACAAAATATGTAAAATGATTTTAAAAAATTGTTATAGTTCAATAGTTCTCATCATGTTACAAATTTATTCAAATATATCAAAATCGAATGAAAAAAAGAAAAAAACACTTAACTTTATGTTGTTTAATCAAAATTTTATACTTAATTAATTCTTTCTAATGTTTTTTTAATAGATTGTCTTCTTTAAAAAAATGATTTTTTTTCTTTGTGCATGGATTCTTAAACAAAAATTAACTTGTAACAATCTATACCCCTACTCGACATTTAGGATACTTCTAAAAATAATTCTAAATTAAAAATTATTATTTATTTGTGTTTATTAGGGATATGAATTAAACTAAGTTTTGAAGTTACATCCTAGTATTAAAGGAACTAAAAAACTTAAAATTGACAATAGTTTCAAAATTATAAGGTAAGCAGTTGGTTATGCTTTTAGAAAGATATCGATTACTCAAAAGCACATTTTTTTTAAAAAAATAAGGTACCATGTTTAGTTTAATCCTAAAGTTTAATCTCTTACAAAATTATATTTTTAGCCAAAATTATTCCTAAGTCAAAATTTCAAGTTTTATTTGTTAGTGTTGGTGCCCAAGATTCAATCATGTTTGGATGGGTTCATGTTAATGTATTATTACATTATTTATTTTAATAATAATAAAGAAGTCATTCTATTAATTCTTATGTTTACATGTTGATAAATTCAGTAAAATTATATAGAAGTCATTATGACATGCATTTGCAATAGTGATTGATCAAAAAATATGAGACAAACACTAATGCATATAAATGATATCATTAAACCTCTTAGGTCTTAGCATATTGTCAATGTCCATTCTTGACAATGCTACGAGATAGACTTATGAGTGCTATGCTTATACTATATGATAATAGTAGGAGATCTCATACCTATTGGCATGGTGATGCCAAAGCAAGCATTCGTGTAATTTATTTTAGAGAATATATCACCGAACTTGACTCGCTATAAGAACTAATTTGGTTTTTGTTTATGGAAATCTCATACGAGATGAGTACAAATGGTTCTTAGACTTGAAGTCGTCACGGTTATCTCATTGAAGGACTTATGCACTTTGACACTAGTTCAATGGATCCATCAATGGGTTGTGCGTGGAAAATTCGTTAGGTGCACTAGGAATCCAATGGAGGGAGGTGTATGATTAAAATAAGATGTGTGATTCCTTGAATGCTAAAGGCGTTATCACATTTCACTTCGATAAATGTCCGCTCGAGAAATCTATGGCTCCAATAGGAGTACATCAATAGAGCATAGTTGATTTACTCTAAGAGTTAAGATATTTGAAAATAAAAAAAAACTTGTGTGATCATAATCGAAAAAGACTTATAACCAAGTTCGAGGTCACACTCGTGATAAGTTGATATGAGGACCGAATTGTATGGTAACCATGCTTGTGAAAGGTAATAATGGATTAACTAATACTCCTAAAGAATTGGGTAGTCATGATGCCTTATTAGAGGCCAATCTTGATTTATGTATCAAGAGATAAAAGAGAAGTCTTTTATTCTTGATACATTGCCACCATATCCGAGAGCCTATTGAGTCACATGCATAAGTTTAAGTATTCACATTATAAATGAGAAGTAAAGATATTGGAAAAGGTTTGCAATTATAGAAGTTTTCTAAAATGGAAAGTTTTCTATTTTAGAAATCGGTTTTCTAATTTGGAAGTCGAGTTCCAAATTTGGAAATAAAGAACCTAAAAGGAAAGAAGTTTCTTAATTTAGGTGAAAGGGTATTTTGAAAAATTATTTTTTAATGTGGACCTTGCCAAAATAATCTAAGAATATTTTTTTGGATAGTCTAAATAAATTAATTAGGCTAAAATACTTTTGGCCCATTGGCTTTAATTAAAAAGACTTAAGATCTTTTGGTGGTAGGATAAACATCAATCTTATTGGATAAAGTTGAATGTTTTAAAGATAATAATCAAAATGTACACATATAAAATAGCTCTTCATCCTCGAAGGATAAGGAAGTAACAACCTAGAGTCCTAAAAGGGCTTGTGGCCACCCCTCTCCTTGTCCTTGGAGGACAAGGAAACTCTCATCCTATAGGAGGAGAGGTGCGACATGGAGATAATAATAATAACCTAAAAAAGAGTATTTTTGGCCAAGCAAAATTAAGAGAGCAACATTCGGCTAAGTAAAGAAAAGGGGAGCAAAGTTTTGACCGACTCTAAAATAATAGAGGGCACACGACCAAGAGTGAAAAATAAAGAGAAAATATTTTTCTCCTAAACCCTAGCAAGATATACTCTTTTCTTCTCCTTTAAAGTTGTTGCAAAATTATCCGAATTGATTTCTAGAGAAAATACTAAATCATAAAAGACGGAGCTAGCACCCTACCGATTTTGAGTGCTTTGTTATGGATACTTGGACTGTGTGGATCATCAATAGAGGTCGGACACTTGGAAAGCTTTGCTTAAAGGAATTAGGATCTTAGGCCCTTAGATGGAGGAAGTTTTTGTTTATTTCGTACATACATAGGATGCATAATCCTTCAATTGGTATCGAGCCTTCATTAAATTTTTGATTGTATGATTGGTTAATTATAATTAACCGTATGAATTAGTTATGCCTAATTATAAATCTTATGTTTTTGGTGTTTTATATAAATATGAAACTAAAATTTTGAGTCAAAATCGAGTAGGAGTATGCGAGGTCGACGTTGGACGTCAACACTCGCGTGTGCAGCAGCCTCTACCGCCGGCCGGGCACTAGGTACGCGAGTAGGCCTTCTAGGTCACGTGAGCTCTCCGTACACTCGCGTACCAAGTGTGCCGGCTACGCACTTTCACCACTAGGTTGATGGTTGCGATTAGGCGTGCACATGTATATGAAGCCGAGAGTTTGGGCTTCGAAGCTTGTAAATCCTCAAGGCCCAAAAGCATATGGGCCTAAAGTAGGCCCAAGGCTCAAAAAGTTTTTAAAATTAAAATTTAGAGAAATTTTGATAAATTTATAAAATGAAAAAAACTATAGATTTGTAATTATTTTATGAATGAAATTGTTTCATTAGTATGCCATGTATCAATGTGATTAAAACATGGGTGAATGGTATGGATGAGTCAACCTAGTTTTATGAATGAATGCTTTTTATTTTGGATAAATAGGACTCGCGTGTCCTACCTTCTCTATTACTCTATTGTATTTCTCTTCTCATCTTACTCGTCCTCGAATGTAACCGGAGATTTCTTATTTCAAATAAATGTAAAAGTAAAAGAAAGAAATTAGAATAGATACAAGGAGAAGACGTCAAGGAATGAAGACATGTATGAAGAATTTGTAATAATTTTTCACCTAAGAATTGACCCACTAGTCTCCTTGTGGCTCGATAGGGCTAGTCCTAGAAATCCATTAGCATTCACCGATCCTTAAGTCATGCATGAGATGTATGAATTTGATGAGATCAATGTTAGTATGCATGATTAAGAATAATGTGATTATTGTTTATTATGCATGCTAGGATGAAACCAACCATATAAAATCCTTTAAATAAAATATTAAGTTAATTGCTTTCTAAATTTATGAGTTGGGAATTCTCTTAGTCGTTATTGGCTTGTTGAGATAACTCAAGGTCACTTATTCCTCAAGAAAAATAAATCATGGGCCATACGAT